TCCGCAACTCGGAGTTTCTCTGTGAAACTTCCTCTGAAAAGATGGTGTCTTCCCTACTTATCCTACTTGCTATGTCTTCCCAATCCCATCCCCCCACTGGAAGGCTTTTGGGTGGTAAATTCCCCGGCAGTCCCAGCTATTTTCCCAGCATTTTCACTAAGTTGCAGCACTTTTTCCCACCATGTTCACCAATTTCCTACCATTTTCCCACCGTTCCCAATGATTTTCCCGCAGGTTTTTGTGTCTCGGAAGTTGACGCATCGTGTGCAGCAAGGTCGAACTGCACCCGGCACCTTGGATACCACGGAGGATCTAGGCATCGTTGTGGTAGCGTTAGCCTCGAAAAATGGTGGTTTGAAACAACAATTTCATGGGAATTCATAGTTGATATAGCTGATTTATGACGGTTTATGTTAGCAAATTTGGATCACACAATTCTAATTTTACTAGGGTTTGTGGTAGATATATCATCCCCACCCCCTTAACCTAGCTTTTTGGGAGGGGACCCTACTATATGTAACTTACATTTTTCGGGGTGTTTTTAGGGGGGGTAAATTGTAACTTAAAATCTCTAAGGTACCAGAAATTCAGGTTTTGGAAGGGTGAAAAATGTAAGTTCTGACCCCCCTAGGTATGGTCCTGGTCAAAGCAATTTCAAGGTATTCCCCAGGAATGCACCACACACGTAGTGATCTATGGAAATGGGGGGGGCGGAGAAAATGTAACTTACATTTTTTCCTCCCCCCCCCTTTTGGGGGTACCACTATATGCTATGATATAATATGATATAATATGATTTAATATGATATAATATGATATAATATGATATAATATGATATAATATGATATAATATGATGTAATATGATATAATATGATTTAATATGATTTAATATGATATAATATGATATGATATAATATGATATAATATGATATATGATATAATATGATTTAATATGATATAATATGATATAATATGATATAGTATGATATAATATGATATAATATGATATAATATGATATAGTATGATATAATATGATATAATATGATATAATATGATATAATATGATATAATATGATATAGTATGATATATTACATTAACATACATTAACCTAGGATAACCTAGGCACACCAGTATTATCCAGTATTCTTGGCTTCAATAGCTGGTTGTGATTTGAGGGGGAACACTGGCTGCTGGCTGCATATTACATTTTTGGTTCCAAGGATTCCCTGGGAATTCTGGTATTATATGGGTTTTGATGGTTTTTTTCTAGGTTGTACATTCAGAGGGACCTACCCTAAATGTAAGCTACATTTTTGAAGGTGCTGATTGTATGGGTTTTTCACAAAATGTAAGTTACATTTTCGAAGGTTTTACCTACCCTAAATGTAAGTTACATTTTGGGGAGGTCCCCCCCTGCTAAAAGGGTAGGGATGATATATCGAACTAGTGTTTTAAACCAACAAACATAAGTGAGGGGCAGCACCCAGTGTGGTTGGGACGGAGCGGTTCGGAACTATATGTCCTTTGAAATAGGGAACCAAGAGCTACGAATTCAGTGTGCCAACCACATGATAGTCTACTCACCATTTTCAACAGGAAGTATACAATTACATAATATATATATATATAATTATAATTAATTATATATATATATTATACATACATTGTGTCAATTTGTGGTATGTGATACTCCATGTAAAGGCCAGGTTGTCACATGTAGTGTCTGCTGCCATTTCGGCTATCAGGGCCCTTGAGCTACATCGCTATCGCTACTAGCAAAAAGAGCCGCGTTGGACTGCACGATACCGTTGCCAATTCACATTGGTAGCGGAGCAGGTGACGACCTGTCTCCGGGTACGTGTCAGATCCAGGGATTGAAAATAGTAGAAGTTTGAATCGGATTTGTTCTTGGAACTTTTTCTGCCGAAATTGTCTGATCCCTGTGGGACAGACCTGCAATTGGCTGACCTTGGGTATAGGCAGTCCATCGCAAAGGAATCGTAGAAATGTCAGTAGCTGGACTTAGGTTTGGTTCTGACCGATCCACTGTGCCCCTAGAGACCAAGAGTGGATCATACATATACCATGGGGATGCAGCACATCATCATGATTGGGAATTCCGGACCCTTTTGCGAATAAAGCTGTTTGATTCAAAGAAAGATGTAGAATCCTCCCCAACCGGAAGGAGTGCCGAGCCCGTTGGGCCGGACTCTGAAGCTGATGCTGGGATTTCACCCCATCCGCGCCCAGGCCGGCCAGATGACGAAGCCGGAGCCTCTGCCAGTCGAAGCCCTAAAGGGGATGACACGGGTCGAGATCGTAGTGTCTTAGTCAACAAGGTCGTAGAAGGTCTTCGAGGTGATGCCTTTCTCATTGCCAGAGATCTCGGTTTGGAGACTCTGTCCCAAGAGGAAGGTCTTGAACGATTGGTTGAACGAATCAAGGCCCATGTTTTTCCCAGAGCTCAAGAAGAAGCCAAAGAACTCTTCAGAGCAGGGCAGAAAGCAGGTGGAGTTTTGTCCCGACAACCCCAAGAACCCATGCTGAGTTATACTCAACGCAGACGCAGATGGTGGAGAGTGTTGACCGAGCTTGATCCTTCCATGGCACTTTCAGATGGACTCCGTATGGAGCTCATGCTTGAACTGTCAGGTCTGAGCCGGCAAGAGGTACTGGTCGTAAAAGCATGTGCCACCACCAAGGACTTTGAAGGAGTTGCTAAGGTGTTGGTTGATCAGTATTCAGGAATCCATTTGAGGGAAGGATCCAAGTCTTGGGTTGGACGTTCATCTACCCCACAACAGTATGGGAAGTCTGGTAAGGGATATGGAAGTTCCAAAGGACCCCAAAGTGGTAAAGGTTCCTACAAGACAGCCTACAATGCCTATCCCGATGAGGAAGGCTATGGTTATGGTGTGACTATGATGAATACCAAGAGGAATACTATGAAGAGGATGCACCATACGTAGGTCTGCTTGGTGGGATCGAGGAACATCCAGAACAATCAAGTCCAAATGTTGACAATCCCTATGAAGCCTTTGACTTTCACGACGAAGTTGATGAGTATGAAGCCACTGCCCTGAATGCACTAGTGGATGTAGGAGATGAACCAACTGAAGATGACAAGAGCCTTGGGGAAGCTCTCCAACTCCAACTAGCTGCATTCGCAGCCTTCGGACGTGTGAAAGGAAAGGGTAAAGGTAAACCCAAAGGAAAAGGGAAAATCATCAGGTCCAACTTGTCCATCGAACAGCGCAGGAAGCGCCTTTCCGAGATTAAGGCCAAGTCGAAATGCCTTCGCTGCGGCGCCTACGGGCACTGGGCAGGTGACCCCATTTGTAAATTCCCAGGTGCAAAGGGGAATGCTAATGCCAAGGATTCAAAACCCCCATCGAATCCTCCTAGGCCAACAGCGCACTTTGCAGACTTCTCGGAATCTTCATCAGATGAGGGAGTTTTCTTGAGTGCATCATCACCCAAAACACCAGTTGCAAACATGGCCATCAAGAGTGCAGCTGCCCTTTCAAAGGCACCCAGTTTGGGACCTTCCACAACTCCGGTAGGACGAAATGACCCGTCAAAACCTATTGGGAGTAACGCGAAGTTCAAGTTTGGCCAGTTTAAGGGGAAGACGTTTTGGGAGATCTTGCATGATCATCCTGACTACTTTGCATGGACACAGAAGAACGCCAAGAGTCCAGGAGCCTCAGAGTATGCCGAGTGGGTGAACCAAAACTTTGAGTATCGGGGGAACATAGTGTATCGCAGAAGTAGTTTGGAGCCACCACCACCTCTTCCAAAGCAACACACACGTTTGAGGAAGCCACCGAATCCACCAAAGGAGAAGTGTGCCAATTGCACCCAATTCACTCGTCAGGGGAGTACGGGTTACACCATCAAGGAGACATGTCTGGTTTGTGGCCATTCAACTACTACCAGGAGAGAACTACTCCCCCAATATCCTTATGACCAGTGTCCACATGAAGACAAGGATTTTCGTGGTTCTTCAAGGTCTGTTCGCCGAACCTTCTGTAAGCAGTGTTGCACGTATCTGGATGAGACTCCGATGGAGCTCCAAAGGACCCGAAAAGCAGTCTCCACCAAAGTCTTGGAAGCACCCCTGGAAAGAGTTTCCATCATTGAACAACTGGTTGATGATTCCAAAGATGCGACCTTTAGCCCCGACATGCTGGACATGATCCTCAATGATTTTGCCACCTTAGTTGCCACCAGTTCTGAATCTGAGGCCATCACTTCGACCAAGCTGCATGAACTTCTCCACCAATCCATCGCCAATGCAGAAGGAGACAGCAGTTTTACCATGGTTGGTGATGTGGAAAACCCTGGGGAAGATTTTGCAGGTCTCGGAGTGTGTTTTCATGGGGACGAGCCAGATGTAGAGATGTCTGATGGCTTGGTGCATGTGTTCCAAGAGACCCGTGACATGTACGACATGAGTGATCCCAATATCTATGTCGTGTTGGATGAGGGGTGTAACTCAACTTGTCACTCCAAACATTGGGCTGAGGTAGTAACTGCCAAGCTGAAGAACTTGGGATACCAGTTTCCATTCAATGACACCAAGGGGAAAACCTTCTCTGGATTGGGGACCGGGGGAACCTCGACCGAGGGATCCCGTACATTGCCTTTCAGCCTGAATTTCATGGACAGCAAGTGTACACCCATTCATGGGGTACTTGAGACGCACCAACTTAGCTCCGGGACATCACCACTCTTGCTGTCACTGCATGCTCAAGCCCATCTTGGACTTGTCAAGGACTTGAAGAATGGAACAGTATCCATTGATGGTAATCAGTTGCCAGTTTTCAGATGTTCTCATACAGGTTTGATGATGTTAGCAATCACCCCAAATCAAATTGATCCGACAGGAAAAACGTCCAATCACATTTCACAACAGATTCCAAAGTGCCACAGAAAGTTTCGAACTGCCTTTGCCGCCCTATCCGACGAGCCTGGTTCGCCGTCGGCCAGCGAGATGTTGAGGTCTCCAAGTGGCTACAGCTCGTCAAGCGCAGATCACATCGAAGGTGCCGTGAACAACTGCCTGAGGGGACTGGACAGATCCCGATGCCTTGTGGTCACTTCAGGTGCTCGTTGGACAGGTCGACAGCCAAGCTTCCCTGGTGCTAAGGTTCTTCAGATTGACTGCAGGCATTTCCATGATCCTGACAGCGACAGATCGATCCGAGGTTGCACTGGACGACATCCTAGCATTATCCGAGGAGTTGCACTTCATGAGGCAATGAATGACCTCGTTGAGCAGGTGACAGATTTCTTGAGGGCTAACCCGAATGGGAAGCTCGTGATCCACTTGTACTGCACCAGTGGTCGTCATCGCAGTGTTGGATTAGCAGCTTTGATCTACTACTTCTTGGACGTGACTGATTGGAGGAAGCCTTTGCTGATCCATTATCACAGCCCGGAGTGGCGTGAGATGACTTGTGGAGGTCATTGCAGTCTTTGTGCAACAGCCGACACCAGAGAGCTTGGAAACTTGATGAACAGGCATCTTCCTGACGTGCGTGTTGTGGATGTGGATGAACCTGATAGGTCATCAGGAGTTGCTAGGCCGCCTGAGCCTGTTAGGCCACCGGCACCAGGGCCTACTACAACGGCGACGAGATCTATCCCCACGTTGACACCATCCAGGACTGTGCCAGTTCCAGTCCGTGCTCCTATGACACCATCCTTTGGAGGTACATCGACGAGAACGCCTTTGACACCCAGGTATGTTCCAGCATATCCACCTCCAAGCCGTAGTGCTGGAGACTCATCTCGTGGAGGAGCACATCACGAAGGAGACGAACGAGGCCGTGATTATGGAGGACAAGACCGAGACTTAGCAGTACAGGTTCTTGCTAATCAGGTCCAGGAGCTCTCAGGTCTTGTGAGACAGGTGCTTGAAGGAGAACGAGCTGATCGTGGAAGGACCAGAAGAAGATCCTCTTCGAGCGGCAGGCGTGGTCGGCGATCTCGAAGCAGACGCCGTGTGTCATCTCCAAGGGTACCTTCTCCAAGGACCCCTCCATCACCACCGAGGCCACCGATTCGACACCCATGTGATGAGTCTCAGCGTCAGCGACTTGAGAGGGAACTCCGCGACATCTTGAACGACAACAGCGGAGACCCATATCGCTGGAATGTCGATGAAGACATCCTTTCTTGGATCATCTCTTCTGCAAAACTGTGGGGAAACAGAGATCGGGTGATCTGGATTACAGACCCCAGCCTTCCTCATGAGGAGCAGCAGCAGCAAGGCATCAGGGTGGACATCAAGCTCAGATCCCACGTGAGGAGCACTTTGATTTCAGGTGGCAAATGGATGAATCGACAGGGTTGGGTGAAATCGTCATTCTATCGACCACGTGATTCCGCAGGAACATTGTGGAACAGACTTCAACGGGAAGAAGCTGTTGGAGAGAACGTCGATCTCCCGACTACTTGGGCCGATTTGGTGATCTTCTCACATCGAGACGTGCGCCCGCGAGCATATACGGGGCGCGTGGTTTTGTTGTCAGGTGATCAGGGTTTTGAGGGCAGTATCGCACCAAAAACGGAGCCCCAAAACGCACCAAAAACGGAGCCCCAAAAGAGCCAGAAATATGTCCCCAAAACAAAAGTCCATTTGCAGAGTCGAAAGAATCCTCCAACTCCACCACAGCCAAGTCGGTTTATGATTTGTACAGATGATGACATGTTCAAGGGAAACCCCAAGATTCAGACTCCGAAAGATGAGTCAACCGACTATAGCACAAGTTCATCCGATGAGAGCCCTGTTGCCAAACCTGTGAAAAGCAAATCCTCCAATGGAAAGCCTTGTCATGAGAAAACCCCCAAGGATGAAGTGATCATCAAAACCGAACCCGGTGATGTACTGCCAGTTGGACTCATGGCCAGAGATCCAGATGGTCCCAACATGCATGAAGTTGTTCTGGACTCTGACACCGATGTTGAAGTGCATGAACATGGTCCAATTGCCATCCAACCCAATGAGAGAGTCACCATGGGTAGGAAACACCGTAAAGCAGTGTTGGACGGTATTGCCAATTTGAACAAGAACGACATGATGATCCAGAGTGGACTTGGTTTGATTTCCAATCCCAATCGAGATAGCAAGACAGTTGTTTTCACTTCCCATCCGTTCGTGTTCGTCCAGGAGTCTGGCCAGCCTTCGGTCGACGTGATCGACGTTGGTGTGGGGGCCAGTCATCTTGACCCTGAATTTGACCCCAAAGATTTTTGTAATCTGTTGGAGGGGTATCAAAACATTGTCATTGCCATTGGATACAACAACCCAAATGATCCATTGGGACATGGTCGTTTTCTGGCAGAAGTGGAGTTGATGTGCGACTTGGACAATTGCAAGTTTCTGCACATAGATGTTGCCATGACTGATCGATGGGAGAAACATCAACACCCCCAAACACCATATATCAATGACCATGGTTTGGCATTCACATGCAATGACGAACAGTGGACCCATGAGTTTGAATCTTGGTTTCGTGGACAGACAATGGACGATGTCTTGTCTTGGAAGTTTGCAGATTGGATTGGGAGTTGGGCCAAGGAAGATGATTTGAACCATCAAATGGGGATAGCGTTTGTGGGGGACATGCATGAAGAAGCACATGAAGAGCATCAACGACTTGACGCCCTCTGGGACTCCGATGACAGAGCCCAGGTGAACCCTGTTGAGGAACTGATTTCTGAGGAAACCCTCATTGACGAAGTCGAGATTCCAGGACTTCCACAAGATGAGGTGGAGAGACGCAGGCAGTGGAGAAAGCTTCCAGCCAGAGTGAGGATCGCTGTCAGGCGACTTCACCGTCAGTTTGGTCATGTGCCGAGGCAGACCATGATCCACTTGCTTCGTGCTGCCAGGGTTCGAACAGAGTTCATTGATGCAGTAAAACTTCATAGGTGCACAGCATGTGAAGAAACATCCCGAAAGAAACCCACACACAAAACTGCATTGCCCCACAACTACTCTTTCAACCATAGCTTGGGAATTGATGTTTTTGAGATCATTGATGCAGGTGGTTCCAAGTTTCAAGTTTTGAACATGGTAGATCTTGGGACGACATTTCAACTGTGCGAGGTTGTCAGAACAGGCCAGGGACAGCCATCATCCAGTGAATGTCTGAAGGCCCTGCAGAAACGTTGGTTTTCATGGAGTGGACACCCAGTGAACTTGATGTGTGACCGAGGGTTGCATAACCGTGGTGTACTGTCAAAGTACATGGACGATCATGGCATTCAGGTTTATCACAGCCCACTTGAGGCACCTGAAAACCTTGGCCGTGTAGAGCGCCACGGGGCCATTGCCAAAGCTCTTTTCCGAAAGGTCTCAAAAGAAACTCAACCTCTTGGCAGAGAACAGGTTGAGTCAGTTCTGCAAGAGGTGCTCATGGTGAAGAATAATGCATCACGTGTAGGAGGTTTTTCACCATCACAGTGGGTATTGGGTAAGGCACCACGCTCAGACCCCAGTCCATTGTCCGAAGAGCGATTTGCAGAGCTCGGAGCCTTGGAGGCCCAGCACAACCCCGAAAGCATTTTTGCTTTGCAGCATCTTGCTAGGCAGGAAGCACAGAAGGCATTTGTATACCTCGATTGCTCCAAGCGTGTCCAGCGAGCCATGACCAAAAACACATCACCTTTTCCGAGAGACTTCGAAATCGGGGACTTGGTGACTTTTCGCAGGGATAACCAGCGGGGAGGCACACGATGGAGTCCCACAAGTAGGGTGATAGGCCATGAGGGAGAGAGAAACCTATGGTTGCTTTGTGGAAATGTCCCGGTACTAGTGGCCAGTCAGAATGTGAAGGTAGCTACTCCAAGTGAAGCATTGGCGCATTCGGTTCTCCATGGGCAGCCTGTCATTCCTGATGAGGTCGTGATCGGAGGTGAACAGCAATCCTTTTTGGATGCTCGAATTTCCCCAGATTCCCAAAGCGACGGATATGAGCCATCCGTACTTGAGGCGCCTGAACCAATTGCCTCAGGCGAGGGAGCTGAACTACCATTCATAAATTGGGGAGATAATAATGAGGATTTACCACCAATACCCGAGGATGAAGAATTGGATAATGCAGGGGTAACTGTACCGGAAATCACCATTGATGGTGAAGACATGTCAGATGAAGTAAATGGTACAGATGAACTGATTGAAGCTGCCAGTTCCAGTCTGGACAGACGGAGATCAAGTGTTGCCCCTCGTGCCGACAGAAACGTGAGACCCCGTCTTGAAACCCAACCTGAGAGTGAAAGAGGGTCATCGCTTATGCCTTCCAGGCGCGAATCTGTGGACTCAGCAGACAGACCTTCTGCTGAAGCACCACAGCTAACACCATCACAAGCCGCAGGGCCACAATCATGGCCCAATCCGTATGACAGTCTTAATGACCTTCCAGCATCCCTGAGGAGCCACTTTGAGCGAGCCCGAAATGCGGCCGCACAATGGTCCGTAGAACAAGTTGAACAGTCCACAGCCATGTTCACATGTTTTATGGCAGGGAAAGATGAGATTGTAGAAGAAGGCAAGAAGGTCCTGAAAAGCATTCATTTCGAATCAGCGCCACCTGAGGTTCAAAAGGCACTGCAAGCTTCTCGAGCCCAGGAATGGTCAAAGTTTGAAAGCTTCGGAGCAGTCGTGCCACTGACTCCGGATCAAGTGCAAGAGCTTGTTGCTGAGGGACATCAGATTATACCCTCCAAATGGGTAGATGTTGACAAAGCTCAGTACAAGAAAGGCCGAGATCCAAATTACCAGCCACAATACAAAAGCAGGTTAGTTTCCTGCGGAAACTTCGAATGCAGTGACGGTCTGAGGTCAGACAGCCCCACAGCTGACATTGAGGTTCACAACCTCATTTGCTGTTGGTGTGCAGCACATGAGCTCGACTTGCATTCGGCTGATGTGACATCAGCATATTTCCAAGGACGACCTTTGGACCGGGTACTCCTGATGAGACAACCCCGGGGTGGCATCCCAGGAGTTGACGAGGGAATTGTTTACCTCGTAAGGGTACCAATCTATGGACTCACAGACTCAGGTCGCGGATTTTGGCTGCGATTGGATGGAGATGCCAAGAAAGAAGGCATGAAAGCATCACAGTTTTTCCCAGGTCTTTATTTTCTTCCAGGGAGCGATGGTGACACATGCGCATTGATGTGCACACATGTTGACGATCTTTTGTACTGTTACTTGCCCGAAGGTAAGGAAGTCATCGAACGTTTTCTGAATAAGTTCAACATCGGCAGCACCGAAGTGAACGAGTTCAGGTATTGCGGAAAGCAGTTTTCGCGTTCAGGTGACGGAGACATTTTCGTCGACACCGTCGGTAACACCAGGAAGATCAAACCAATTCCAATTGACGCTGGCCGTCCAGGCAGTGAGAAGATTTCAGGTGATGACATCACACGACTTAGGTCGGTGACCGGGTCACTCGCTTGGGTTGCTCGCCAGACAAGACCAGATTTGGCGTACCGAGTTAGCCGCCTACAATCTTCAATCAAAAATGCCACAGTCAGCACTTTGTGCGACGCAAACGCAGTTGTACAACTTGCTCACAAAGGTGATCCGGTAAGGCTTCGTTTTCCAAGCGGACATCTCAAATGGGATGAGATAGGTCTGATCACAATTACTGACGCTTCATTCTCCAATGGACAGAACTACCGTTCCCAACAGGGACGTTGTCACTTTCTTGGAGACCTCACAGAGATCAAGAGCAGTAGCTGCAACACGTACAGAGTTATGCCTCTGTCTTACAGCTCTACCACGATCCGACGTGTGTGTCGAAGCACGCTCCAGGCTGAGACGTATTCACTGCAGCATGGTCTCGAAGCAGGGGACAAGCTCAGAGGTGTCTTGGCAGAACTCAAAGGCCAGATCAAATCCATGCGGACATGGGAAACTGATGCAAGGAGCTGCGTACCGCACTTAGCCCTCACAGATTGCCGCTCATTGTCAGACCACTTGGCTTCCGAGATCCTGGCGAAGGTGAGCGACAAAAGACTTGGCATCGAATTACAAAGTATTCACGAATCCTACTGGAATGATGACCGAAAAACATGGGACATCTATCCGAATGGAGGAGATAAGCTGTCATGGATAGCAACACACACCATGATCAGCGACTGCCTTACAAAGAGTATGAAACCAGATTTCATAATTCGAGTGTTGGCAGAGTGCATGTACAAAGTACAGAAGCAGTAATAACACCACTGCGTTCTTTCTCCGCAATGCCCTGTACAGACATAGCTGTATATATTTCTATGTGACACCTGAAGAACAGGTTGAGTGTCAATTTGTGGTATGTGATACTCCATGTAAAGGCCAGGTTGTCACATGTAGTGTCTGCTGCCATTTCGGCTATCAGGGCCCTTGAGCTACATCGCTATCGCTACTAGCAAAAAGAGCCGCGTTGGACTGCACGATACCGTTGCCAATTCACAATTGTATGCAGATGGGGTGTTAGGATCCACGGCGCACGATCTTGATCGGGATTCATTCCGAAACAGCAACGGGAAGGCAAACATGGGGATATCAAATCATATTCATTAGACATCTAATCGGTATTTGAATGGTTGGTGAACAATCTGAAGGGAAATCGTGTTCATCAGGCAGATTGTGATCAGCACAAAAATGGTAATTTCAACCCGGATCGACCAACCACTTTATATCCGGCAAATCTTTGACAAAGGGTTTACTGGGTGTTGGACTCTGGCCTGGAGTGAGATTGGCATTGGGATGCCATGGACGAAACATGTTGATAGCATGTTGTAAGTCCGCTTAAAAGTGTGGTTTATGTGTTTTGAATGATAATGATGTTCGGCCCATCATTGTATGTGACACTGAGTTTGCCCCGGCATATTTTTTGGCTGATTGTGATGATCTGATTTGTTCAAACTGAAATATGTGTCAGTTCTTGGTGAATCCAAACATAATTACAGTGAAACTGTTATTGTTAGGAGTTGTTCAGAAGGAAGTCCATCATTTTTTTCTAAGGTCCCATCTATGACATTGGGCGAATGTCGCATCGCGGCCCAGCCTTTGCGTTTCCACAGGAGATTTTGGCCTTTGTTTAAGGTGGGGCAGGTGGGGTTCTGGATGTTAGATATTCAGTGATGTTCAATGTGTGTGTGTGTCCTATTTCGATGAAAGATAATGAAACTATCTGCAGATACCTAGATAGGCGTGAATCATGTTTGTTTCACGTTATTGTTAAGATGTTTGTAGTCCACATTCTGTCTAATTTGAAATTATGATTGAAACGTATCCGCATGATTTCACAATCATATACTATCCACCCCACTAACATAGACCCTCAGAATCGCAGATCCCAAGAGGAAAGTAATCTTCGAACTCCCGATGTGGCACTGTGTGGTTGGAGGGAGGCCATTTTACTATCCACAGACTTCCGGTATCCCCAAGTCATCGTTTGTGAACTTGTGAATACCCCCACACCGGGTCACCGGGGAACGGCCTCATTGAGATACATGTACTGATGTAATCTGATGTACCTCAGGGAAAACGGTAACCCCTCAGTTTTCTATAGCTTTCAAACACCCAAGGGGGTTGCCCAAATCCGGGTTGTTTCTGGCTTTTGTTCTTGTTTGTTTTGGGAAAGCCCACTCATAAACCCATTATATAAAATATTATATATAATATATATATAGTATAATTATATAATATATATATAGTATAATTAGATATATAATATATAATCATACATATTTATATACATGTTGGCATCTACAATCCAGCCATTGATTTTCCGTTTGAAAAATATCACCTGGTGGTTTTCCAAAAAAGGGTACTCCCCAAATCCACAAGTTCATCAGCATTTTTCTATTCAGATATCAGTTCGATGGAAGACCCCAATTCCAGACACATCCAGATATGATATTGCGTAGTTACATCACCATTGTTACTGTATTTCCTCATTGTAATCCCATAAACATTCTGGTTGGTTAATTTTCTCATGTTCGCAACGAACTTTGATGCGCGATTCTCATAGTGTTGGTCACATTTATATACCATATTGTTTAACAGCTATTGGATGATTTGACATTTGGCACTTTCCCTTTGTTGACTACTATTAGCCTTGATCAAATTGCTATCTCAGCTTATATCATGAAATATTCTCACTATATATAATATACCCTCTGGTTATTTAACATAGCTATGGAAAATGGTCCATGTACAGATGATTTTCCCATTAAAACCTCCATTTATAATGGATTTTCCATAGCTATGTTAAATAACCAGATGGCATCACCATTTTAATCCATATCCCTCTTCAATCCCAACAGGGAGGTGCTCCAGTTCGTTGGCTAAGTTTGTGTTTCCAACCCCCATTAGATCGTGAAATATACCCCTAATCACCCCCGAAATCGGAGTCAACAACATAAACCAACATAAAGCAACTTAGCGTTTCCGAAGTCATGGGGGTACCCCCAGTTCTCATCCATTTTAGTAGGATGTCCCATTAACCATCCAGCTATTGGGGTACTCCGTAGGCCACCCGAAACCAGGAGGAGCAACGGCCTCCCCTGGGTGGCACCAACTACCCCGACTCCTCTGTAGATCTGACATGCGCCACGGTGGACAGCCAAAAGGTGCCCCGGGATCGGTGGGAAAATCGGTTCAACAAAAAAAGGGATGGTTCACCATGGGTTTACTTATACCTGGTAAGATTTTACCTCGTCAGATTTTACCTGGTAAGATGTCAACATCATGTGACAGTGGAATGATTTGCAATGAAGAATCACACTGGTTTCCACGGATAGTTTGTTATTTTGCCTTGGAAAATGCAGAGATTCCCAATGAGAAAATTCTTAGGGGTGGGTGGGTCATCGGCAAATCTGAGGGTTTGTCAGGGAAAATCATAAAGATGATGACGGGGTGATTCTTTTTGGTCTTATCCAGCATTGCGGATTATGCACCTCTTGAGAAATGATGAACAGCTTGGATGTCCACTGTTTTTGTTGATGTTCCGGGCTCATTGGATGTAACATATTCGCTTCTCATGGAGGCTGCAATCATGTGGATGTTACGGCCCTTTTCTGGTGACTTTACCAAAGATGTGGCTGTCGTGCGGGATGATCACATGATGGGATGAGAAAACCGTCGCAGAGTTTTAGATGGATTGAAATCATGAGCCGTTGAGCCGTTGTTCCTGGTGCAACTGATATTTCATGAGTCCCGTCCTGAATCATGTGTGGCAGTTTTTAGTTAATTAATTGTGAACCCATTTTGTCGCTTACAACGATATAACGTATTGTATATATACAGTATAATATAAAATGATATAATATAACATAATATAACATAATAAGACATAATACATGTTAACATAATATAAAATGTTGGGGAAATCTTGGGGAATAATTATATCTATAATATATTATAATTACAAATAGTTCTGAGGAAATCTTGGTTCTAAAATTCTTGCTTTGATGGAGGTCCTAGGACTGAATGTAGTTCTTCCCCCTTCCAGACTATGTCGAGCGAATATAACTTACGTTAATGTTGAGCGTCCGTATGTCCGTATGTCAATTTGAAAAGGTTGAGCTGTTTCAGCTAGAACAACCATGTTTATGAGGTAGGTTTTGACCCATATTCCATATTCCCAAACAGTGCCAAGAACCATGGAACAAATTGGACACCATGTCATCTACTCAGCCACTTCTCATGGACATCATCCAGGTGTTTTGTTGGCTGTTTGTTGGTTTGAGCACCTTCCCAGAAAGTTATATACTTAAAACCATGGGAAGAAATAGAACACAGCCACGCCTTGAAAATAGAATAAGCAAACAAGTTTCAGCATGGACTTTGAAGTTTGTTTTTTCAAAACAACATCCTCTAATATATGCCTGGCCTTGTATATAAAGTTATTTTCAATGATACTTGCAGCTGTGCAAAGTTATAAAGGAGTGCAGCATCTCTTTGAAAGGAATATAAAGTTGTTTTAAAAACACTTGCAGCTGTACAAAGTTCTTTTGGAGAGGTAAAGGAATCTATGGTAGGAGGAAGTTTATTTTAGAATGGAATCCTTTGAGTACCCGTTGTTTTACGACTATGGTATTCCTTAAAGAAAGTGTTGGTGCAAGTATGGGCAAAGGTTCCTGCGCAAAGGAGTGAACCATTTGATTCAAAAGCATGCAACAATGCAAAGAAGCATTACTATGAAGTAGATTCCTTGGGTGTATGTAGTATTTTTCTGAAACAAGCATATCATGGTTGTATGTGTGCAATATGCCTTCCATATGAATAAACCATCTGAACATCACAGACAACGGTTTTTTGTTATTTTGAAGAAGTGAAGTTTTTCCTTGATTTCCTTGAAACACGAATGTCATGCAGAAAAGTAAGAGGGAGGCTGAGCTTCATTAAAGGGCGTATTGCATCTTTCCACATGTTGTATTTTTCTGCAAGTACACTGCTTCTTACTTAAAGGAATACCTTATTTTCAATGCAATTAGTTTTAAGAAGTGAAGTCTTGCCTTTGAACATGTCATAAGAAAAATGATGGGAAGGCTGAACTTCATTAAAGGATGCATTGCATCTCTCCTCATTATCTCACATTATAGTGTTCTTGCAAGAATATTGTTTTGAAGGGACTATGCTGTCTTCAAGGCAAATGGTCAGCTGTAAGCGGCATTTTCCTTTGATATGTTGTTTTGTTCAAAGAATGCTGCAATGTGCATCGACCATTGCACTCTTTGACAGCAATACTGAATCTTAATCACACACTGCATATTGTGTAGGAATCTAATCTAGTGTTTTGAAAACAATGCTGTATGATTGCAAGGAAGGCGTACTATTTTTCTGAAAGAAAAACTGCACTTCTTCAGAAAAGAACGCTGCATTTTCAGAGGCACGCTCTATATTTTGTAGGGATATAGTTTCTTGAAAGAAGTAATGCATTGTCTTGAAGGAAAGCTGCAGCGTATGAATGAACAGTGTTTTTTAAAAGCATGGAAAGGAATACTGCAATTTACAATGCATTGATTCCTTCAAGAAATGCTGTGCTTTTTGACCTGAGTATGTGTTTATCCTTTTTGAGAGCAATAGTGTGTATTTACTTTGTTTTTGCCAAAGGGTCCCAACAAATACTACCTCTTTGAGATTAGCAAAAGGCTCAAAATGGATCAACAATGATCAACATGGTAGATCTTTGGGAGGAAGTACCACACATATACATATATATATACACATAATTTACATTTATGTATATATATATACACACATAATTTACATTTATGTATATATAATATATATATATATATATACATAATTATATATATGTACGTATTCTACACGTATTTATTCCTACCTTCCTTGGTTGCACTGTTCATGTGTTGTTTCTGGCGCACCAGGTTAAGTTCCCTGGTTCCGCGCAAGCGTGCTTTGGCCACTTGGCTAAAACCGAAATCGACTGCAGGATGGTTAATGATGGTTAATGATGGTTGATGATGGTTGATTATGGTTAATGATGGTTAATGTTGATTGATGATGATTGATGATGATTGAAATGGTGGTTGATGATGATGGTTCAGACATGTTAAACACCATGGTTTCCCTGGGAAATGATCTAGAAATGCGGGGTGGGTTCCACAGTTCCACATCTATGTTAGTTTACAGTGCAGATAGTATGTTAATAATGTTAATCTGTTGCTAGGCATTTGCTAGCCAGTTGTTTTTTCTGTGTTTGTTTTCTTTTTCTGGGACATCTAACAGGGTAGATGAATGGATATGACCAGCCGGCAGGGGGGCATAGGAATGTACTGGGATGATACCAACAATATGATATGAGTGTGTCATGATTTGGCCAGAAATGCGGTACACCAGTAGTGTACCCAAAATGCCAAAATGAATAGTCAAGACGCAGGGATAATAGATAATAATTGATGATAATTGATAAATAATCATATGTTTACAACATCTTTGGACATACCCACTAACCCTGGAGCCCATGTTCAAGGCAATGTCAGACCTTCTGGCGGGGTGGCATTTTTTTTTTTGGCGAGAGTGTTCTCATTTTGGCTTGACTTCAAACATATAAAAGGTGGCTTGGGAATTTAGATATCAAAGAAGATGGTCAGTAGTCGTCTATGATCCCTTTAAAAAACCGGGGGCATCGTGGGATTTTTTTCGGTCAAACCCTGAGACACGGAGGGACCGAAAAAAAACCAGCCATGCCCCAGGGACTGAGATGAGAATGGGCATCAAGAACGCAGAGATTCTGGTGCGCCTGCGAAGCGCAGATTGCATTTGCAGGTCTTGGCAAAGAAATGAACATTGCCATAGTAAACCATACCTTACCTTTATTTGATCATATTTGATCATTTGGTACTATTTTTCAAATGGTGCCATAGTATTTCCAGAAAGGTAAGGTTTGGTAGTTGCTCTGGGAATACCAATTTCTTCCCTTTCTGGAAATCCCAGCGGGTGATCTGCATATGGTGGAGGTTTCCGATGTGAAAAACGTCGGTTGTGTGATGTTGTTCAGTTCCAAGTGCCTGAAGTGTAAAAAATGTGTATTGGTGATCTTTGGAACTGATTCACTGTCAATTCATGATGATATTCCAATTTACTACAAGACTGTAGCTGTTTGCCGTGGTATTCTGGATATTTCTGGATCCACCTGGCGCTGTTTCCGCTGTTTCTTTGGATCCACGTGCCAGGTTACCAACCCCAACTTGATGCTTGGAATGGAATCTCCAGGACCGCTGCTGGAAGTTCGTATGAATATGTCCAGACTATTTCGGGGTGATTATTATATATATTATATTCGACATAACAGTTTCATGATTGTCATTAATTTCATTAATTATTACTATTTGATACTATTTGCATATAGGCATTGTGTTCTTCTGTGGTCAGTTTTCCGATCATCATGGGTTCGAACCCACACTTCATTGGCACATTTCGAACCCACAAAACCTATGAATTTACATGACTTTAGCATACCTTTTGGGAGTCAACATCCTTACTTTAGCCATCCGGGTACCATCCGGGTGCCAGGCTTCGCCGACCAGATTTTCTCCAGTGATCTGAAGCAGAAGCAGCAATTTGTTTGTTGGAACATGTTGTAACATGACAAACCTTACCTTCAATAACTTTCAACAATTCAAATCTTTTGATGATAAGTTAACATAATTTAACAATCCCATTTAGTTAACAGTATTTAATGGAATTTGGTTATTGGATGATATTGGATGTAAAAAAGGCAAATCTTTTGTTGCCATATTGATTTGTATTTCAACAATCTTCAACAGTCGTCCATTCCGTTCAAAAGCGTCCGGATGACCGAATCCGGACCCAACCGCCGCAATACAGGAGCCGCAGAATACAGTCCATCGCAAGAAGCTGTGCGTCGACAACATCCCAAGTACAGCTTCGCAGATAATGTGCAGGCCATGATGGCCATGTATCAGGGGTATCGTATGTGGGTCATGGTGGGTCAGCCTGAAATGGGGGAATACCATGGAATACCCTCTGGTAATTTGTTACAGTTTGCTATTGAAAATGGCCATTGATAGTGAGTTGTCCCATTAATAGCATGGTGGATCTTTCCATAGTTTTTTGTTAACGCTTACCAGGCCGGGTACCCTTCTAGATTCTAAGTGGCCATCTAACGGGGAAAAAATTAAAACGAATCAAACAATGGGAACTTAGAGTAGTACCATATCCGACAAAGCCATGGCATGTCAGGGATGAAAAGGTGGCGAGTCTCGTATCTCAGATGATCTCTCTAATTGGCTCAAGGATCTGCGATGTTCAAGTTTGTTAAGATGGGAACAAAAACACTTGATGATCTTGATGCACATGCTTCATGTTTGAAGTTTGTGCGAGTTCCGGGCCAGTGCGTTTGATATGAACAGGTCTTTCAAGGAGAGTTTCTCCGGATGATTAGAGTTCGTCAAATACAGTGACTGAAACGCCGTTCTTGGGCTGTTGGGACAAGATCGTGGTTTCAATCACGTTCGATTTGCAACAAAAGCCTAAAAGTGCTAAAACTGGAATCATGATGAATCATGATGAATCATGATGAATCATGATGAATCATGATGAATCATGATCCCTGGCGAGTAATGGCGAGTAAACCGGCCATCGGGCCATTCCCATGAAAACCAACCATGGGGTCCTTCTCATAGGTTGAATCCATCGCACCAAGGTTTGGACTGCCATAGCCGACTCCAGGCTTCCTGGAAGATTACCCATTGAGGATTTTCCTGTTAAGATCTTAATTATATTGTTAATTATTAAAAACATGTTATTAGTATAATTAACATTTTTTATAGTTAACATGTTTCCATCTTAGATGTTAATTAGATGTATAATTAGTATAACTTTTTCCATCTTAGTATAATTAGATGATTGTTGTGTATTTTTGTTTGTTGAGATCTATTTTTTTTGCATTCCATTGCAATGTCCGAGAGGACAACGAGCCAGGTTGGCCGGTGTGATGTGCTTTTTTGTGCCTCCCCGTTGTGTTGATTGGTTTATTAGACCCAGAATACTGTAGAATACTGTAGAATACTATAGGTAGATACTGATAGATAGATATGCTGCAGATACATATATATATACGATAAACTATTATGAACTCAGTAACTGGTTTTTAGTTACACAGCGAACTGCTAGCAGCGAAAAAAATGCGAAAAAATGCGCGTCAGGAGCGGGTGCAAAACGCCAAGCCCGTGACGCGGCTCACATTGCCGGCGACTGGAACCCCCAGGATGGGCATGGCTTCCTGTTCACATTTTCCCTTAAACCAATCCGGTGAAAGGCTTGTGTTTCACTCATTAAAAAAGGCCCCCAACTTTTTGTTGATCAATGATGATCAATCATCAGCTTTTCTTGGGTTTCATCCATATGCTGGAAATGGTTTGGCCAAAGGTATGGTTGCTTCACCTTGTGTATTGACTCTGTTCAGAGGCCCAACTTGAAACCCTGGGTATGTTTGGTGATAGCACAATCACATGGATGTTTTTTTCATAGGACCTGGGATGGTCAACCCTTCAGAAAGCCAATTGAAAACTGATATGGGATTCAATGTAATCATGTAATCACTCAGGGTTTTGTCATGTTTTGTATGTGTAGGAGCGTTGTGTTTGTTTCGACGGTGGAAGATACATGAAGATAACTGGTTTGAGTGTCGAATAGCGGTGATATTGCCCCGATAACAAGATGTTGGTTTTGGTGACCTCAGGCATATTCAGGCTAGTTTCAGACTTGTTGGTCGCCCAAACGCTTTACAGACATTTAGTTCATTGACTGAATCCATGTTGGGGCAAATGAATCAACCATCGTTGAACAATTGGTTCATAAAGATGATAAAGAACCCAGTTACATATATATATAGCTGGTTGGTGGTTTGGAACATTTTTTATTGTCCATAAAATATGGGATAATCCTTCCCATTGACTATTTTTCAAGATGGTTAAAACCAACCAGATATATATTTATAAGTCAGTAACAACCCAATTGAATCACAAGCCTGGAGAAACATGACCAGGGTTTGTAGCCACTTGAATCCAATTGTGATTCACCAAAATCATGGCTTATGATTCACCAAGTGACAAAAAACATTGGATATCATGGCTATATTTCCAAAATATTATCATTGATTTTATTTCTAAAACATGATAAAACCAATCTTTGGAATGTTTCCTGCATCCGCAGCATCTGCTTCGCCCACACTTCCCATTAGCCGAAAGCGCTGTATGGCGTGCTCGCCGAAAGCGCCCAAAGCCCCTCCCTTCATTCCTGGCCTCGTGAACAGTGTCACTCTGGCGGGTTAACTGGGGAGCAGTTGGATTGAAATAAATCAGTATAGCATTGTTTTCGGCCATGGTCAAAAAAATGAAATGCCTCCATATATATGTTGGGATACAAGCATATACAAGCCCTATAAGCATCTATAAGGTTTGTTCTTAGCCTTCATAGCAAGAGTCGCAAAGGGCAGGCTGCATCAGGCCACTGTACAATTCACTTCCCATTTTGACATAGTTCGTTATGACCCATGTTGTGCGCCACAAATCGGAAGAAGCTGTGTGCAGCTCCCGGCTGTGTCCCCTTTTTTGAATAGCGGCATCAGTTCGGTGGAGGATGCGCCATGAGCGGAAAATCAGTTCTGCCAATTCGACCGGAAAACATCAGAAGCATCAGGGAATATCAATGATATTTGAAAGCATCAACTCATTTTGAGAATATGTCCGCTCACATTGTACATGGTGCCCAGTTTCAGATCATTTGCAGCTCTAGCAACTTCAAAGAAATCAGCTTAGATGATAAGCCTCAACCTAGACCATGTAATGTTTTTGTCTACTACCTTCATTGGGAAAGTTTGGGCTAAATGTCGGTATGTATGATTATAGATGTAGGTATAATATTAGTAAAACAATAGCATCCATCATCCCCAAGTTTACCTTTTTTATGCTTTTTCAAACCATCAGAATATCGGTGGTTTGTAAGTGCTTCGCTGGCAATATATGTGTGTGGCACAATACTCGGATGATGATCCCCAATCAAACTATTCCTGGGCTCAGAGGCTCAGCTGCATGGCATACATGTTCCAAAATTGCCACTGGTTGGTTTTGCTTGAAACCGGTATCCTGGGATATCCTGGGTAGGTCTCCGTCCCCAACTGCATGTGTTGAGGCGGCAGACCTGGCACAAAGGGAATTGGAAGAGATTGATGCAGCCAAATTGAAAGCTCCAGAGGACCAGCTTTGATTCCTTTCTTTGGTGAGCTTTCAACATTTTAAAACACTGAAACATGTTTCAAGTCTCAGATTTTATGGACACCTCAAAAGGTGCTGAATCATGTCACCTCCGGATGAATAAACCTTCATTGATTACAAAAAGGGGGTGGCCACCACAAAGTCAGGCCAGTTGCTAGTTACATTGCACACAGATCCCCAGGTTTGCCCAAGGAAAGAATAATCTATTTTTAACGACCTCAATCAAAAGATATGAAATTCTGTTTACAATGTGAGCATTGGATTGCGGCGTGGCAAGAGAACTGTACCGCTATTAGGGTTTCTTTTAATGTTTACACATGGCAAAAAATTGTCCTACCCGCTCATGGGACAACAAACCATATAGCTTTTAAGTTTTATTTTCATAAGATATAAAATTTCATCCCCATGAAGCAATTAACCATACTGCAATGAGAGTGTTGTTTGGGTTTTGCACAGGATATGACATCTCACACCCCCATGGAACAAGCAAGTAACCAAACCAGTTTCATCAGCATCAGCATCATCATCATCATCATCATCATGTTTGCTTGCCCGGAGGCTCTTTCGGAGTTTGAGCTAACATAGCATATCATAGCATCCCCCCCAATTCAACAGCCGAGGGCTTCAATCCGATGCATTTCACCAGGCATGATTTGTGTTTTTTGTTTATGATTAATCAGTGTCATGCATGCGTTGTTTTGTGTTATTGCAACTATCAGTATTGATCGTTATTGTTATTATTGCTAATGTAATTGTCATTAGTAGTGGTAGTTTTGTTTTTTATTATTACTAATGTGGTTTCATGTGGTTGTGTATTGTATTTTATTGTACTGTTTTTTTTATTGTCGTGTATGGTAATGTAATAATATAGGTTATATACTATAATATGATATGATATATTTTCAAATCATATCATGTAATGTAATGTAATGGTATGGATGGATGTATGTAATGTATGTAATGTAATGTAATGCAATGTAATGTAATGCAATGTAATGTAATGTAATATAATGTAATGTAATGTAATGTAATGTGATATAATGTAATGTAATGTAATGTAATGGAATGTAATGTAATGTATAAATGTAGTGTAATGTAATGTAATGTAATGTAATGTAATGTATGCATGCATGCATGTATGTATGTATGTATGTCTAATATATATACATACATATGCATTGAATATTTGCAACCTGAACGTTAACACCCCACCCCATGATCAACGTAACATCACCAGCGTAACATGAACATGAACGTTAGCATCCCACCCCACCCCACCCCATGATCAGCGTAACACCATGTAACACCATCAGCGTAACCTGAACATGAACGTTACCATCCCACCCCACCCCCCCATGATCAGCGTAACATCATCAGCTTAACATGAACATGAACGTTAACACCCACCCCACCCCACCCCACGATCAACGTAACATCATCAGCTAACATGATGAACGTTAACACCCCCCACCCCACCCCACCCCACGATCATCGTAACATCATCAGCTTAACATGAACATGAACGTTAACACCCCACCCCACCCCACCCCACCCCACCCCACGATCAACGTAACATCATCAGCGTAACATGAACATGAACGTTAACACCCCACCCCACCCCACCCCATCCCACCCCATCCCACCCCACGATCATCGTAACATCATCAGCGGTAACATGAACATGAACGTTAACATCCCACCCCACAACACCCCATGATCAACGTAACATCATCAGCGTAACATGAACATGAACGTTGACATCCCACCCCGCACCACCCCACCCCACATCAAACAAAAACAGAAAAACCAACAAAAACAAAACACCAAAAAGACAACAAAACACCTAGGCGCCCTGCAGCGCCCATGGCAGCTAGTTCGCTATATCTACCATAAATCCCAAAAAAATGTCATTTACAAACCAACTTAGCAAACATAAATCAGCATAAATCAGCTATATCAACTACACATATACGCCAAACGAACTATGGGGCACCACGGAAGGTACCACCGACTCGGAGCGCGGAGGATCCTGTTCCAGTGCCACCGGGCCTCAGTCGAACCTTGCAAGAGCAGTTGGATTCGCTGACCGACAAGGCCGGCCTTTGCGCCGAAGTTGTCAGTTGGTACATGTTATATTTGGCATATTTGGCATGGTATTGTATGTTTTATCATATTGTATCATATTCTAATATATGATAGTTCACTATTTATCATTGTATTTTGTTATATTCTATTATATGTTGTTTGTTTATCTTATGGTATATTCTATTGGAGTATATATAAATGGTGTATTATTTATATTACAGTATATTACATTATAACATATATATATATTATGATATGATGCTTTACTGTATATTATAGCATTAAATTACATAATGATGATTAATTATATAGTGTATCATGAATTATGTCAATATATTGTGTTTTATTTTAGTTCATTATATGTAGTTTATTTTAGTTTTTCAAATATACATATTTGCTAATGTCAACTCACAAAATGAAAACTGAAACATGACGCTGAAGGGATTGACAGGCACTAAGACATACTTAGAGCAAGGAAATATGATCATGAACCCTTTGTTGGTTCAAGCAGGTGCGGTTCTTCCTTTGATTGGGAGATGAAACCACTATTTGACGGTGGTCCGATTTCATCAGAGAATTCAGGCTTGACATGGACACAATGCATTGATACCTTGCCAATTTCCTTCAGACCCAGTTGTTTGTTTGGGTTGTTTGGGTTGTTTGAGTTGTTTGGGTTGTAAGGAAGAATGTCTTGTTGATCAACATGTCCCGAAGGCGGCATCAATCCCCAACCATCCCTTCCTCATATGACTGGTTAATTTGCGATGTCTCCCAGCATTATTTTCGGCCATGATCAAAGAGGATGGAGAATTGCACATCCCCAAGGAATACTGCGCATGTTTAGCATACAAGTTTTTTTTAAAAAAAATAATGACTTGACAAGAATGCCTTGGAGGCGAGATGAATCCGATTTGGTTTGGATTAATCTGGAATAATCTGGATTAATCTTAAGGAACCAAGCACCCAAAGAAATGGTAGTATATAAAGCACACAAAAAGCTGGACAATAAAACCATTGTTTTTGTTATGCAGATAAATACCACGAAAAAGAGCTCAAGGTAGGCCCTGGTGGGGGTTGTGCCCATATATACATATATACGTACAATATATACATACAATATATACATATAAATACTCTATATATATATATACACTATATATATACTATATATATACATGTAAACTATGTATGAATTATATATATATATACACTGGTGTTTCCTATCTATTAGGCACTCCCCCACCACATGGTACTACTGTAAGTTGGTGAGTTACGGTAAGCTTCCTGCACATCCCACGGGGAGACAGCTAGGTTGATGTTTGCCTCTCGGAGATACTCAACGTCAAAGTCTTGACGACCAAGCTGCCAAGCAATGACAAGCCCACGGGAGGCGCTTGGAGTGGCGGGCAAAATGAGAACCACGGACGACATGGTGGTGATATAATTTGTTATAATTAGTTTATTAGTTTTATTCTGTTTTATTTAGGGTTGCTCCTTTAAAAAAGGTGGATTTACACCAATTTATCGGGAATGGGGGTAATTCTAGCAACAAAAATGGTGGTATGAAATGAAATAGACTGGGATGATGATCCCGTTTCCAGGGGAGGGTATTCCAATTTCATAAGCCGCAATTTATTTTATGGTACCCTCTTTTTGACAAAGCACGACAGGCTGGAACTTGGATGCAAACTTGATGTAATCACTTAGTTTCCCTATGTTTCCCTAAAGGATTGACTTGTGTTTGAAGATCTTCAAAATTAATCCTCTTGGGGTTTCCTGCCCAGTCCAAGAATGGAGCCATCAGAAAATCCCGCAACATCCCCATCTACGTCAAGCGTCTGAACTGACCAAAGAGGTGGAACAGGGAACACGACTAGATTGACTAGATGAGTTTCCATAGCCAAAAGGCACAAAATTAGAAGTTTCATGGTCCATCTTTGAATGAATGTAGATTGTAGGATATAGGCTGGCTTTCACTCGCAGGTTGGTCAACACCCCAAAATCCCTGCGACCAGCTTGTTCAGCAGCCAGGCTGGAAAAATGCAACTCAATTTCGCAAGCCTCAAAATGGTTGGAGTGATTTTGGCAGTACATTTCAGTACATCGCAGTTTTTGATTGTAAAACAAAGTAGGTTTCTACACGATTTCCTTCAACCAATCCACATTCATCTAGGATTCTGGTGGGTTCTATCATCACTCCACTTTCATTCCACTCGTCAGAGGCGCCGCTAGCAGCTCAAAGAAAAAGAGTGCCAAACTCCAGTGGAGTGAGAACGGGGAAGAAGAGGCTCGGTCACACATTGCTGGCCGGTGGTTTGTACATTATAATATATATATACCCTCTGGTTATTTAACATAGCCATGGAAAATGTTCCATTTATAGATGATTTTCCCATTAAAACCCCATTTATGAGGGATTTTCCATGGCTATGTTGGTCATAACCAGATGGTATATTTATATATATATACGTATATATGTCAGAATGACAACGGATTTTTTCAGGTGGGATGGATTTAGCAATGTCAAACAGATTGGTTTAAAGCGATTAGCCATGGGGAAATGGGATGGTTCCCGTTAAAACCTTGAATCTTGGCGGAGGAACCCAATAGCTTATTGGGTGTAAACAACAGGGTATCAGAGTTTTGAACCATACCCAGATGGGTAAATAAGCATTCAATTCCAGTGGAACCATACAACTTATAACCTGAGTATATCCTTTTGGAATCTATTAGGTAAACTAGATTTGGTGGAGTGATATAGTTGAAGGTTGCAAGGGGTCCATTGATTCGTATTGACCCATGTCGGGTGGTTTTGTTGACTCATTATAAAGATCTATCCTTCAAGCGGTCACGGCGGCATCAATGTGTGTGTCAATTCACGGCGGCATCAATGCGTGTGCCAATACCACATAAGCTCAAACTTGGGTTCGCCACCATGCAGTGGAATGTTTTACTCTGACCATTTTTGGGCTGGGAACAACAGGGCATGCGGCACCAGGGTTTTGACCACACAGATGACCTCCGCCATTGGTGGGATGATTGGAACGTCCAAGTTCAATCCTTCGATAGAGACCTGGGTCATTTCCAAGTAAACCGGGATGGTTCAGACCTGGTTGTTACGTGTTTTGACTTTATACTTGTCTGGCTTGAGTGAGTGATTATGAACATGTATGAACATTTTATACATTTTTGAACATTTATGAACATTTATGAACATGTCTTCAAAATTATTCCTCCGGACCTTGAGATGAAGGAGGAAATCCATCCCACTAGAGAGCCATTTGTATGCCTGGATATGCTGAGGATATTTGTTCATATTTTCCCTGCTGCTTAACCGTTAAAACCCACTCTTTGGATTGAATATATATGTATGTTTTGTATTGTTTTGTTGGCTAAGCAAATCCAAGTAATTGTATATGTGGGTTGGTCTGAAAAATGGCTTCTTCCGCATTTTTTTTTAAATGAATGTTTCCACATGTTTCCACGATCTTCATCATTTTCCCTATGTCAATGGCCAGTTGTCTCCCGTCCAAGCTTCCAGGCCCTCCGAGAGACTGCTCGCCATTCCTCAGAAGATGCGCCACACAGCGGGGCTGCGACCTCCATGCCGGTGCAGCGACGCTCCGAGTGGCCCACAAAGGCACCGAAGACCACCATCCGGCAGAACACGGCAGGCTCCGACTCGCCTCCGGAGAAAGAAACTCAGCTTGATTGGACCATACCCACTGGTAGGATCCATGGTGCTGTTATATATGGTAACATGGATCCCATCAATATACCCCAGATGGGATCGCATATATACCAGCACCATGGATCCGTCATGGGATATTGGACCATAGTGGACCTGGGATGACCTGGGATGGCAACCCAACCTCTGGCTTCGGCTTAGATTTGCACTATTTCTGACGGTCATTTTTTTTTGATGCCCACACACTGTTCGATCTGTTCGGGCAGCTTAGGTAAAACACTTGCTAGGACTCCTTGTTTCCTCCAAGACCCTGATTCTGGCTATTTCACAGCGCTCCATAGCCCACAAAAACCTATTGGGAACACAAAGATGTGGCTGTGTCCAAGTATATACAGAACCACATTTTAGGCTTCCAGCCCTTACCTGTCCAGCCAGAAAGGTTCCAAGGGAATGTGGTAAATACTGTATCATAAAAATTTCATGACCACGTTAAATCAAATCCGAAAATGTCAGGTTTGTGGGTCGGACTCTATTGTGTTCATTGCGTTCAACAAAAAACTCTTGTCAATACTTTATATCTAAAAAATACGAAAAACCATCGAAACAACATCCATCAACTATGATCAACACAGGAAAAAACAACAAATCAAAGCTATCCAAAGCTATTCAACATGAAAATGATCGGTATTTTCGAATATGGGTGGTTTCCTAAAAGAGGGGTCCGGGTACTTCCATAAATCCTCCATTATATAGGATTTTTCATTATAAACTGTCCATTTATGGAAACCCCCTTGTATCGATCTAGCCCAGGACAATCACCAGGAAATAGTTCCCCAAAGTGCATTCCCAGTCACCAGCTCACCACTGCACAGCCCTCGAAGTCTGCGGCAGCGCCCGGTAGTAACGCATGTAGCTTTGGGTGACCCAAGGGCGCCCTAGAAAGAGGGGCATTGGGCCATAGGATCGCGGATGATCCTTAAATGAAATGACCTGGCATGGCACAAGATGGGTGTGAACCATCAACCATATATATATATTATAAATGGATATTATATTAGGAGGATTTTCCATTATAAACCATTATAAACCATTATAAACCATTATAAACCATTATAAACCATTATAAACCATTATAAACCATTATAAACCATTATAAACCATTATAAACCATTATAAACCATTATAAACCATTATAAACCATTATAAACCATTATAAACCATTAAACCATTTTAAACCATTATAAAACCATTATAAACCATTATAAACCATTATAAACCATTATAAACCATTATAAACCATTATAAACCATTATAAACCGTTAAACCTTTTTAAACCATTTTAAAACCATTATATACCATTATATTTCCATTATAAACCATTATAAACCATTATAAACCATTATAAACCATTATAAACCATTATAAACCATTACAAACCACTATAAACCATTATAAACCATTATAAACCATTATAAACCATTATAAACCATTATAAACCATTATAAACCATTATAAACCATCCATTTTCAATAGAATCTTCCACATATCCCAGGCGCTCCACCATGTGGTGTCGCAGAAGGGGCCCAGGCAGGCCATCGTGGCGGGCGGTGTCGATCTGCAGGTGGCCTGGAAGCTCCACGCCAAGCGGAACCTTGGAAGAACCCATGGCTTTTCAATGGGAAAATATGGGGAAAAGATGGGAAATGTTTGATGGGAATATATATATATAGTTAGTATGTATGTATATATATTTATATGTGAATAAATACGGGGAATATTGAATATATGTTGTTCTTATGAATATGTTTGTATCACCAAGATTAACCATGTAGATAATTAGGATATATATATATATATATGGAATGATGATATAGTCCCATTATAGTTGTATCATTCCCATATATATATATATATAGTGATATATCTAAGACAATATCGTACTTATAGGTATATATAATGGGGAGGAAATAACTATAAGTATATAATTATATAACTACAAATAGTATATATTGTGTTTTCTTGTTTTTCCAATATAATACTATAGTATATATAACATAATTCATGTATATATATATATATTGTATTATTGATTATCATGCTTATCATCATCGGTATGATTATTCTTATGTAGGTGTATATAGTACTGTACATTGGTACACATCATATATATATTTTTATATATTTATATTTATACATACATAATGGGAATAGAAGTGTAATGGATTGACATATACATATATATATTCTACATGTACTATAGTACATATATATGTATATATATATACATTATAATCATAAATATTGGTATCACTATTATATGGAGATATAGCTACAACTACATTTGTAATATCTACAACGCATGATACGTGTGTATTATAATGGGTATAGACGTATTAAATTGGGATATAGCCTATAAATGTCATCGGTATATAAACTCTACGCATGAAATGGCAAACACATGTAAAAAACTGGTATCCTTCAGGTTCTGACGTTAAACACTTCGTATTTCAGGTTTGGACAGATCTGATCTTTTGGATTTTGGGGATTTCCTCAAGAAGAGGGGTTGCAACCAACAACCAAGGAGATAGAACCAACAATGATGTGGAAAGATGTGGGTAAATTCCAGTCCAGCGGCAAAAGTTGGGGATGCAACCAGATATGTAGCCAACATTGTGAGCAGTTGCATATCTAGCTGAATCTAGTTGGCTAGATCATCATGATGATAAAACAACGTTGGTGGCCGAACTCACCATGAGGTTGTTAGCATTTTAGATTTGAGACATGTTGGATTGTTTACCCAGGTCCAAGCAACAATCATTGGGATTTGTAGCCCTCACGAATGGGAGAATTCTCCTCAGAGACTGAACAAGGATTGAGGCAAGCACCCTGGGATTCCATCAATAGACATTGGGATCTTAAAAAGGAGATAAGGTGCAATCACACTTGGAATTCATGTGTCAATCCTGTTTACTGCTTGGTTTGTCGAGGGATTCCTAGATTATCATGGACCATTATACCAATGATAGATTATGGTCCATACCATTGGGGATTCCATTAAAACCATTCACTGGGAACCATGGAACATCAAAATGGCCAGATCCTTCGTGTCTCACGAGGATTACGCAACAAGATCCAACGTTAGCATCTCGGCCGGGCTGGGGTTCCAATGTGATCGTATGGTTGAAGACTCTCATAGATTCTCAACCAAGAGACGGTCACAGATGGTTTTGGCCCAGAATTGAAATTTCTCCGGGTGCCTTTGGGACTGTGAATGGGAGCAACTGGTGTTTCATTTGGACCCTGAATATATCTGTACACTTTCCTGCAGGAACTATCAGGATTTTCCATCTGATAGGATAACGACTGGTACGGGGCACCACTGAAGGTACCTACTTTTTGTTATTGATGATCCCCATTTACGAAAAAAATCAAGCCAAAAAAAAAGATAGAAAAGTGTTTCGAAAAGTGTTTCCAGATCTCAGATACTCTATGTTCCCTCAACTTCATCCAACTTTTCTAATTTTTTGGGGCTTACTATGTCATCTTCTTGGGGCCGCCTTCGCCACTGTTTAACTGACTGAGGAGTTGTCACCGATGCTGAGACTGGTGCACCGTAGCTGGATGGATGCTTGGTGCGGTCACTAAATATGTGCATATACCTACATATATATATATATATATACGTATATATATATATATACGTATATATATATACGTATATATATATATATATATACTAATGATTTTGTATATAATAATATATACATGTTAATGAATATATATATATATATATATATTATATATATAATATTATATATATATAATATTGTACCAAATTTGCATTGTATCACGAGTGTTGAAATATCGTATGTCATGTTGTATTACATTGTATCATGTCGTATCATATTATGTTTTATTACAGTATTTTGTAATATATTATGTTATGTTATGTTTTGCTATGTATGTTGTACTACATTACATTACATTATGTATGTTATTGTATTGTATCATTTATAATAATTGTATATATCATCATCGTCATCATCTCATCATCATCATCATCATCATCATCATGATAATCATCGTTATTGTTTGTTGTGTTATTTATTAATAATTTATTAATAATACTATTACTGTCTATTACTATTGTTTATGAATATTCTTAAATCAAATTTGTTAATATTAATATAATTTAATGTACTACATTACATTGTATCCACTGCTGTATCCATTGCATCACATATAGACATGGAGATATCATGGCAGATCATGGGACACAAAAACTGCTGGGGATGACCAGCTCGAAGTGGAAAATCACTTTATTTTTACAGGTAAAACATCGAACTATACTGGCCATGGTTTCCATTGCTATGTTAAAGTACCAGAGGGTATGTAGTTTACTGAAGTCCCACATTTTATGTTTTTGCACGTTCTTTAGCCTGACAGCCTGACAGCCTGAAAGAGACCTGAAAACTGGTGACCACATGGCACACCGAAGCAAAGGAAACGGCTTGGGAATTCTTGGACGATCCAGACTCGAGTCGAGGCGCATGGCTTGGAAAGGTGGTGCCCTAGTTTGTTATGGTAGATTTAACCATATTTAAGCTATGGAAATTGGCGCTTAAGCAACACACACGGGGATGTATAGCTGATTTGTGTTTGCTAAGGTGGTTTGTAAGTTGTAAGTCCAATCACTACGTAGGTGTTATGCGGTAAATATATGGAACTATAGTACAGTGGGGGTAATTCACCATACTTGGAGACACCACCCTGTGGGGACTGAGATTTTGTGGTCTTGACGGGTGTGTCTGAAAATGGGCTGTCCTCCAAACGATAATTCTAATAGGAAAAGCAATGAGCAGTCAGTGGATTTGGGGGTACACCATTTTCGGACAAAGCATTCCACAAGTGTTGACTATTGATTGCATGAGACAATGAGAGATCAGGCGATAATTACAACTTCCGATGGTGTTTACTTGAAAGTTAAAAAGGTTTACAATAGACTCCCCTTAAACCACCAAGAATGCTGGGAAATTACCTTGCATTATTGAAAACTAACATGAAACCAATGTTTATTGCAGTCTCCACTAGGATAGTCGTCAATTGGGGTGGTGGACCTCCTCAATGAGGCAACACTAAAACTACCCGCAACACGTTCGCTACGCCCCTCAGGTACTTCACTATATACACTTTCATATGGTTTTGCAGGGTTCCTTTAGGGTTTGTTTAGGGTTGATTAGATTTAGGTTTTTCCCAGGTTTTTGCAGGGTTTCTTTAGGGTTTAATTATACGTAAAAAGTGTTGAAAGCAGCGAAAATCAGCCGATTCCCCGCAGAGAGTCGACAATCACGTCCCTCACGAAGCCTCGTGAGGGACATGAGGTTTAACCATCTCAACATATAGTGGAAGGGGTGTTTCCCGTAAGGGTCACTAAAAATGAGTTTCCCATAGTTTCCCGACAATCATCCCAAAAGAGTTTGGGGCATAGCAACAAGTGCTGGCCGAACTACTAGGGGATGGGAATCCATTTCGAAATTGGGATTGTGCTGACCATTGTCAGGAAGTTTGAAATCAATGTCAACAGATGTCAGCGGCTAAATATCTTAAATTTGTCCGTAATTCGCGTCAAAACAGCTTGATAGTTTGTAGTCCCCAGACAGTATGGATACGGAAAAGGGCAGTTCTGATAGTTCCATTGAAGATGGTAGGGCAAGCTGCGCTTTTCTAGGGTCTGTGAACCAGAAAGCCGCCTCCACGTGTTTTTATTTCTGTGCCTGCAACGGATGAAGGTTTGACCCTGCGCCAGGATGATTAGGATGAAACGAACGGAAATTGTGAGGCATGGATAGAACCGCTCAGTCATACCGTGTGTTGATCCAACTTATCCGCCTGGACGCCCCTTCTCTTGAGAGGCCCTAAATTTGTTGGTTAAATGTTTAATGTACAATTAACACCCTAGACGGTTCAAAAGAGGGCATTGGACATCTCACCATAGAAGCACAAAATCACCCGGGGAGCGGATTGACATCGGACCTGGGCGAAGCTTCAGGAGCATGGTGGGCCTGTCTCTTCCAGAAACTGATCGTTTGCATCGCTTTGCTCTTTTCCTGCTTGCAAGTCACCAAGGACTTTTTTGGATGGGAATGCGGATGGGCAGGTCTGTTCGGTGACAGGTTGCTTTGAGCGAGTTGGTTTCTCCAGAGAGATCTAGTTTTCTTTTGGATCTTCTGACCCAGTGCCACCATGGGGCTATGGTTGTAACCCCCCACAAAGTTGGGGTATAACATTTAATATAACACCAATATCATATGCTTGTTTTATATACGAATATATATATATACCACATATCGACTTATCAGAGGAGTTTTATCCGCTCCGTTCTTGATCTACGACCCTCCAATAATGATCAATCATTGGGATGCCTACCTGCACGGTACCTGGGCCAAATCATTCTCCCATGTTTTGCGCTGTCTTGATGTTCTTCCAATCAGTCTAATCCAGGATTAATGAACCCTTGGTTTGTTCATAGGGAGGGTACAAATTCCAATAGTGAATTCAGGGTTCCCTTCCCCGAGTATGAAATACCACCCCATTAAATAAAATAAACAAACACACACAATGGTTTACAGATCTTTATTTATTATTGTTTTTTTTGTAGAAATTCTATATGAAATTCTTGGATCTCATGTTGACCTATGAATTTTGGGTGTGCCATACTGCCAGTCGGGTGCCATGGCCCAAAGCCAGGAGCCATTGATGGACCCCCTGAACTTCGCCATATGGGAAACAGTTCCTTGGCAGCTCGAAGATCTTCAACCTATGTTTCTAGATCTGGAGATACTGTGGATATCATGAAATATCGTGACATTTCGTGAAATATCATGTCATATCATGAAGTATCATGTCATGTCATGAAGTATCGCACCATATCATGAAACATCACATCAATTCATATCAACATATCGTGACATTTCACGAAATATCATTATCCACATATCATGAAGTATCATGCTATCACAAAGTATCATATCATATCATGAAATATCATATCAACATATCTCGACTTTTTTTATGAAATATCATGACAAAACCTTGAATATCATGACATGTCATGAAAGAGCCTGTAATATCGTGAAACACAATGACATATCATGAAGTATCACGCGATATCAAGATATATCATGTCAAAAGAAAGTGACAATGTCATGAAATATCATGACAAATCATGAAATGTAATGTGTATTATCATGTAATGCTCGAAATCTCTCAAACTATCATGACATCACGACATATCATGAACACAGCATGACATATCATGAAATATCATGACGTCAAGAAAACATCATGACATGTTATGGAATATCATAACATGTCATGAAATATCAAGACTTATCATGACATAGTCTGGCATATTATATCATATCATGCTATATCATGAACTATCATGAACCAATATAACATATCATGAAATATCAAAACTTACCATGACATATTCTGAAATATCATGTCATACCATGAAATATCATGGCATATCATGAACTATGATGAACTATCATCATATCATGAACTGTAATGAAATATCATGAACAATCATGACATATCATGAACTATCATGAAATATCATGTCAAATTATGAAATATAACGTCATAAGATGAACTATCATAAACTATCATGAACTATTATGTCATATCATGACCTGTCATGAAATATCATGTCATATCATGAAATAGAATGTCATATCATGGATTATCATCAAATATCATGTCATATCATGAACTATCAGGAACTATTATGAACTATCATTCAATATCACGTCATATCATGAACTATCACGACATATCATGAACTATCACGACATATCATGAACTATCATGAACTATCACGACATACCACGACATATCATGAACTATCACGACATATCATGAACTATCACGACATATCATGAACTATCACGACATATCATGAACTATCACGACATATCATGAACTATCACTACATATCACGACATATCATGAAATACCATGAACTATCATGAACTATCACGACATATGACGAACCATCATGAACTATCATGAACTATCACGACATATCATGAACTATCATGAACTATCATGTCATATCATACCATGAACTATCATGAACTATCACGACATATCATGAAATACCATAAACTATCATGAACTATTACCACATATCACAACATATCATGAACTATCTTGACATATCACGACATGATCCCCATATTTTTTTCATGATCCCTACGAGCAGGGTTTGGTTCCTGATCCAAGGCCCTGGATATCCTGTTCCTCAGCGAGTTTCTGGCACGGATCATCTGCACTCCTTTGAGGAGGACCACGGTGGATCACATGGGGAGAATGATGGAGAGATGATGGAAAATCCTGAGCACATGGTGAATTTTGGGCTTGGAAATCCATGGCCATGGTCAAATGATTGTCCCGGGATTTAGGGGATGCTTATCAATTTTATCAATACCCTCTGGTAAACGTTTACATCACGAACTGGAAAATCACCATGTTTGATAGGTAGATCAACTATAAAGGTGCTATGTTCAAAAGCTATGTTAAATTACCATAGGGTACCCATTCCGTTTGGAATCCGATTTTTCATGAAGAGAATATGACCAGCCCGATTCATCCCATGTAATTTGACACACATCTTGCGTTTTGCAGAGCACAACTTATCAGCTTGCGGTTTGTGTCAGGACTAGGTATGTCTCTGTAGGCCCTATGATGCTATGTGACATATGCATACATATTCCGCATGCCCTCTGATAATCTAACACAGCCACAGAAAATTGCCATATAGAAATCATTACGGTAAATCATCTATAAAATTCTATTAAAATCATAGTTAAATGAGCTTGCCATATTTTATGGCTAGTGGCTATAGATTACCTTTTTTTGGGTATGTTAAACATAGATTTATTGATTCGGGGCCAACATTCCAATTAATCCCTTAAGTTCATCGATGTTCAGCGGCAGGACCTATGTTTTGGATCCATTGAATTGGGCAGATATGCTGAGTGTTTGTGCATTGCCACTGCGGATTGCTGCTGGATTTGTTTCTTGGGCCCAGATAAAAAACAGCAGAAATATGGTGAAAAATATAGGTTGGTTGAGAAAAACCAAGATCTGGGAGACTTGGGGAAGGTCCTAAAGGTCCTAAAATCCAATGGATGTGGGAAACCAATGGAAACCAATGGAAACCAATGTTATGTTCACCTGGCATGACTTGGGGATGGTGTTGCAGAAGCCACAAAAATAACTTGATGACTTGGGGATGGTGAATAAAAAAGGGTTTACCACATTGTGCATTGCCCAAACCAAGGATCTCAATCTTAAACATTGACATGACATTTGGTGATATAAAAGTAGCTTTTTTCGGGGGCAGCTTAACATACGCCAACTATCGGAACCAATTGCAATCCACACCCACGTGCTACCTTTTGTGAGACCCCAGGTACCGAGAAGTGAGGACACACACAAGTGGAGTGCACCAACGTTGGGTGTTCTCCCAATATTTACAAAAAAGCGCGGCGGGTCCATAAATTTTAATGGGGATGCCCCAAAATGGATGGTTTATCATGGAAAGACCTATCAAAACGGATGATTAATTTTTCGGGGTACCCCAATTTTGGGGAAACATCCATATAAAATCATGAGATCTTGGCTGCCCCAGGTGCTCTACGACCCTTTGTCGGAGGATGTTCTGGTTCGGATATTGATGTTCGTGGTGCCATTGATTCGATTTCTAAAACTGCTTCGTCACTGGGTGAAGCAGCGCTGTCAATAGAAGGGTGTTTCATTGCGGGGTCCATTTCTCAACAAAAATCAGGAACACATGGCTGCATGGTGCTGCATGGCTTGATTTCGGACCGGATTGAGTCATTTCCCTAGGCAGAGGCGTTGTGTTTTTCAGGGAAGGTGAACCAACTGGAACCGCCTGGAACCGAAACTTTGACAGTGAACCTTTGAGAGGTTTCACAGAGCTTTGCTCACCTGGCAATTTAAAATCAACATCTTTGATGGAGAAATCGGCCTGAGAATCACATTGAATCGCTGATCTCTATCCATTCATAATTTGTGGGCTAAGTGCCAAAAATATACGATCAAATATCCAGCTGCAATCCATCATGGCAACAGATCTTGCTGGAAGAAGCTCAATTTGTAAGCTCAATGCAATGGATCCTAGTCTCCAATGAGGTTTCAACAATATACTGGGGACTCTCAGAATCCATGGGACTTCCCATCAACCATAACAAAAGGTTTTTCACTAGCTTTGTGACATTGCCCAAACATTCCGGATGATCCCAAGTCGGATGCTCAACCATCGATCACGCAAGGCTACTTTGAGATTTTCCGGCTCTTGATTGACGCCTTCAAGAACAGCGCTACAGCACTTCCCGTACTCGCCTATATCATGGCTTTAATAACACTGTTCGGGGTGGCTTGGTGATGGCGATAAAGAAATGTGGACAATGTGGTGCTTCTTGTTGCAGAATGGCCATGGCTTAAAATATCATTATGAAATCATGAAAACAGCACGGAATCGCTTTTCTATGTATGAATTGTGGCGACCACCTATCGACCTTCCCACTCTTCGTTGAGGCTATGTCTAAGTTTGGTTGACTAATATCCCCATGTCGAAGGAGTAGTGGATTGAACTCCCCATCCGAGGTTTAGCCAGTAGCCTTCCACTGAACCCCAAATCCAACCAGCTAACAAAGAACCAGCTAACAAAGAACATCAAAGAACTTGTTTTTTCCCCGCAGGGTATCTAAGGTTGGCCTTTCTAGAATTCCAGAATTGTAACATTTTATATAATATTATATATAAGTATTTATACAAATTCGTATACCCTCAGCATATCAATCACAGGGTTCGCCTGGTCCGGTCCGGGTCGGGTGCGCGTGAGCGAGTCGGGTCCGGTCCGGGTTCTGGACCGGGTTCTGTCGGCAGTCCTTTAGAAGAGCTGTTGTGTTTTGTGTCTCCGTGATGCATCTATGGAGTCGTATGTGGGCGCCACGAGACAGTTTTTTTGGTAGGTTGGGGCCGTCTCTCGAGCCGATTATCTCGCAGCCTGTCGAAGGCAAGACATTGCGAAAGGAGGGGCACGTTAGAGAATTACTTTCAATGCTGGAAGACTATCGAATTTTCTCAAAACCATTAATTTTGAAGTTTTTTGACCATGAAAAGCTGGAAAACCATTGTTTTGAGAAACAGGCCCCAGAATCGATTCCCCCAGGGTCCGCTCTCATGGCGTGCTTGGCCCATTCCTCTTTGTCATGGTTATCCTTCATTTTCGTTTCCCAATTTCTCCGGGATGCAGGTTCACTTGGCATATTCTGTGGAATTTATAATTCGCAGAGCTGACAGGAGAAGCCTGCGCTTGTCGTTTCTGGTGGCAGTCCCCGGGGGGGTGACTGTTGGTGACGGTGTGGCAGCCTCGAAAACTCCACCAGACAGAGTCAGAGGGCCAAGAACTCCAACTGGTGTAGTTCCTGCACGGACGAAAGTTCAGCCAATGCTTGTGACGCCTGTTGAGAACATGGCTCCGCAGACTGCAGAGGCAGGGGGTCAAGAAAGTCATTCGTTCTTAGTTTGTCAGCGTTTTTCTCTATAGAAAATCTAACTCATACAGAGTCCTTGGCAGGTGAGTTTCTCGGCCATGACGAGCGCAGACCATATGAAGGCCGCGCAAGATTTTTGGAGCAGCTGCAAAGTGGCAAGATGTGCGATCGTCAGTGTGCTAGATTTCCCCGGTGCTTATTTGCTTTTGGCAGGAGCAGATTTTCATATGTCCAGGTACTTGGCATGCTACAAGCATCTGGAGTGGCATACACTGTGATACCCTTGAAAATGTGGAGCGAAACTTTGGAAGAGGACGGCATCAAGTCTCGGAACGGTTTGGCGAGATAATTTTAAGAAATGAGCAGCTAAACATGTGTTGCTTACACTTCGGTTCGGATTTTCTCCTGACTTGTGCCAGTTTTGTAACCAGAGCCAAGGCCTTAAGAATGATAACGTCAGTGTGCTGAGATTTATCCGAGAAAGCGTATGTGAAAAACACCGGACAAAGAAAGATGTTGTTCAAGATTATTTCAAGATTATGCATGAATTCGTTACTTTCAAAAATCACTTGTGCTTTTGACATGACGGGGATTCGGAGTCTGGGGAAGAAGACTGCTGGGTACCAGAGCCTGTGTAGCGACTACAGCACCCAGAAGAAAAAAACTACGCATGGTGCTGGGATGTGCTGGGTATGTGTGTATCTGTGAAGGACTCTTCTACAGTTTCTATCTCGACGATGCACCAATTAACTGAATCTCCTTACCTTTCTCAAAACGAGTGTTTTCTTGTTTCTCGGGGGCGCAAAGCTCAAAAATCATGGTTTGGACAAACTTGGGGGATGACGCGCCAACATGGAGCTGAGAGTAACGAAGCAATGGAAACAAGCCGAGAAGAGTAATAGCGATACGGACCGGGGAGGAGTCGATCTCACAACCGTTTCTCAGAACCACTCTTTTCTTGCTTTCTGCTGCTGCAAACTTCAAAATGAAGTGTTTTGAGAAACTTGTCGCGATTAAATGTGTTGGGTTTCATCACACTTCACTTTGACAAGATAAGCCCCAATGCTTGTACGTGTCGCAGATGGGTCTTTCAGCTGATGAGAAAAAGGCCCCTTGTGCCTGCTTCTACTCTAAGCCTACATGCCCAACAGTTTTCTCATGCCTGTTTGCGAAGCACCATGTGCTGATAGAACTCAGAAACTCTATTGTTTTGTGTTTTCGCGTTTGGTTTTGACAAACTTGGGGGATGAGATGATGCGACAACGTGGATCTGAGCGTAACGGCGCAATGGAACCAAGCCGGACAGGGTCACAGCGACACGGACCCGGGAGGAATCGATCTCACAGCCGTTTCTCGAAACCACTCTTTTCTTGTTTTTTGCTGCTGCAAACCTCAAAATGAATTTGTTTTGAGAAACTGATGATGCGCCAACATGGAGCTGAGAGTAACCAAGCAATGGAACCAAACCGGGAAGAGTGACAGCGACACGGACCCGGGAAGAAACTGATGGTGCGCCAACGTGGAGCTGAGGGTTCCGGAGAAGGTTCCGGAGAAGGTCTGGGAGGCTTTGGTGCAGAGCCAGGTCAGGTTCAACATGATTTGCGGCCAATTAATTCACGGAAACCCGGCTGAGGTGTTTCGAGCGCTTTGCTTCGCAGCACGCTCCAGAAAGATTTGTAAAAATAAAACGTTGCGGCTGTTGGGGATACCACCGAAGCTTATTTTTTTAAAGTTGACAACATCAAAAACGAAGCAATTCTGCGAGACGTCCTTCAAAAATGGAAAGTTGAGTGCAGAGCTGACGGCCTCGTACCATTGCGTTTTGCGATTTTTCCAGTCCATCTGTCTGGAACCAAGCCGCGGGAAGAGTAACAGCGACACAGCCCTGGAAGGAATCGATCTCACAACCGTTTCTCAAAACCACTCTTTTCTTGTTTTCTGCTGCTGCAAACCTCAAAATGCATTGTTTTGAGAAACTGATGATGCGCCAACATGGAGCTGAGAGTAACGAAGCAATGGAACCAAGCCGGGAAGAGTTATAGCGACACGGACCGGCGAGGAGTCGATCCCACAACCGGTTAGCAAAACCACTCTTCTCTTGCTTTCTGCTCCTGCAACCCTCAAAAAGACTTGCTTTGAGACACTGATGATGCGCCAACATGGGCGCTGAGAGCAACGAAGCAATGGAACCAAGCTTGGAAGAGTACTAGCGGCACGGACCCGGGAGGAGTCGATCTCATAACCGTTTCTCAAAACCACTCTTTTCTTGTTTTCTGATGCTGCAAACCTCAAAATGAACTGTTTTGAGAAACTGATGATGCGCCAACATGGAGCTGAGAGTAAGGAAGCAATGGAACCAAGCCGGGAAGAGTAATAGCGGCACAGACCCGGGAGGAATCGATCTCATAACCATTTCTCAAAGCCACTCTTTTCTTGTTTTCTGCTGCTGCAAACCGCAAAATGAACTGTTTCACTGTTTCAAGAAAGTGATGATGCGCCAACATGGAGCTGAGAGTCACGAAGCAATGGAACCAAGCCGGGAAGAGTAACAGCGACACGGGCCCGGGAGGAATCAATCTCACAACCGTTTCTCAAACCACTCTTTTCTTCTCTTGCAGTGCAAACCTCAAGATGAAGTGTTTTGAGAAATTTGTGCTTAATATTCTATTGCTTTGTGATTTCGCATCGGTCCGGGTCGGGTCGGTCTCGGTCTCGTTCTCGTTCGGCGGCAAGCCCGGCGTGCCCGGCGTGCCCGGCGTGCCCGGCGTGCCCTGCATTAAGTTTAATGTGGGAAACCGTTTATGCCTTAAACCATCTCCAATGTTCCCATGGGTGGTTCCAACCACCCCCTAGTTGGTAGTTGTAAAATTGCAGTGGGTATACCACATTATTTTTTTTCAAGCCGCCATTTCTAGTGAGTTTCCATGTTAAGATTTAAACACCATTTCTAGATCATTGACTCTCTGGCAGTCAAACATAGTAATGGACAATCCATTTATAGATCATGTTCCCAGATTTTCCCATTAAAACATTTTGAAACCGTTTATTTATAGGGGATTTTCAAGTGTCATGTTTGATAGAGGGCCATCATAGTGAAAGCCATGTCTGTTCCAAGATCGGCCTTGAATAGCCTCGGACCAAGGCTACAGGGATTTATTTGGCCGAAGAAAAAGCGAAACCTGGAGATCAAAAAATTGTGCTAATGGTGAAATCTATAATGCATAACCACCATGTAACCATGATATAACCATTTTACAGCTATCATATAACCATCATACAACCATCATACAGTCATCATACAACCATCATATCATAATCTATGAGCATCAGCAATTGCGGATGTTATTGGATAGAATGGGATACAGTGATATATTTCATGGGATATGTTTGAACATGGTGTTTGAAGGTGATTGTAGTCCCAACAAAAAATACAATTTTGGGAAAAAATGATGAAACCATTGGAATTTGGGGTTCCCAAACACCAAAACTTTGGATTTGGGCAACATGTTTTAATGACATATTTTATGCATCGGGATGCTTCAAAATTGGAGCTGAAGACCCTAAGATCAATCTTGTTCCCCTAATATCAAACACCCCCTTAGAAACCATGGTTTAGTAGGGAAATTCCACATAATTTGGACCATCGAATGGGGGTGTCTAATATTAGGGGCATGGGACCGATGGGATGATTATAGAATTTACGGGGGTGTACTGGTCATGTTTCCTGGCCAAACCTATGGTGAAGGGTCCCCCGTTTTAAGAAAGGCACATTTGTGAAGGTATAAAGTCGTGTGAAGATGTTATGCTTAACGGGTTACCCTTCGGTAATCCAACATGGCTATGGAACATCTCTGTAAATAGATGGTTTTAGATAATGGGAAAATCATCTATCAATGGAGGATTTCCATTGCCATGTTTGATTGCCAGAGGTTTTGCCATCAATTTAAAGTAAACTCACTGGTTAGAGTTCGTATGATTGCGGGATATCCAAGATTGGCTACACTCTGTGTTTCAACATTGGGGATACACTAAGCGAATCATCTGAATTGGAGAAAATTTTGAGACACGATAGGTATCCTATTGTCAGAGATTTGTGATTGGGGTATTTCTGGGCCCGTGTCTATAATAGGATAGGTGGTAGCAGCCCAGCGTAGTCTGAACCTCTGCCGCGAAGTGCCAGGGAGAAAATCAATAAACCCACGGGGAATTCTCGGGTACCTATGGAACATGATTTGCATATATTTCAATTTTGGGTGAGATTGCTTTTTGAATCTATGGCAGTTGCACGACGCATAGGCTACTTTCTATCTCAGTGACAGGGAACATGCTTCCACTTCCGGGAGCCTTAGCGCTATGACTGTTGCTTCCATGCGAGTGGGTCTCCTGGTACACTGTTGCTGGATCATGCTGGACCCATGTTTTAGAAAAATATGTTCGTAAGTCTTTTTGGGGTACCTTGCAGTAGTCAATCATAGCGATGCAATTTGGAAATGTCCCACTTATAGTTGATTTTCCATGATTTTCCCATTAAAACCTGCATTTATAGAGGATTTTCCATTAGGTCCTCGATCGATTTTTTGGGGTTCACATGCGTCCAGCGGGTATTCGCCCCGGCAGAAAGTGGCTGTGGCTATCGCTGAGGAACATTCCATATTTCCAGCAAGCAATGTGGTTGGCCATTGTGACCATGACATCTGTGGCCTGGATTGTCTGAGTGGGCTTAACAAAAAGGGCGGACAGGTATATCAGGTATTGCTCAGGGCAACTATTGGGTGTCCAAATTTAGTATCCGAGTATTATATATATATGATTATACATGATGTATGTATATGTACATACGTGCATAATTATACATATATACATGTTATATGTATACCAGTGTAAGTAGTAATTGTGTGTATGTATGTTTATATATGTTTATAATATTTTTTGGTCCCGCTGATTACATGTCTCATGTCCATGTTTGGTTGATTGATGTACAGCGAACCCTTTGGGATTTACGGTATGGCGATTGATCACCTTACTATTTCCCTTGGTTTGCCGGTGATATTGCGGCTCGTGATTTGCCCCGGGTCTTATCTTGACCTGTCCTATCATGCTTGTGGTTTGGGTGTTTGGGTGTTTGGGTGTTTCCCCCCGAGGTCTGGGCTGGCTGCACTCCTTAGGTTTTAGGATGGCATCACCTGCTTGGAGGGGATTCATCCGGCAACATTTCTCTCAGCAAATCCGACAGGTTGGCTACGGTGATTTTTACCCGGAGACCCTCGCGGGCTACATCGTCGTGTCCATGCTCACTTTTGTCAGCGTGCCGCCTGCCTGCAAGCAGGCTGCCCTGAGGCCGAAGAGACGGTTCAACCAGCACGGCAAGCTCGAATCTGAAGGCAAAAAATAAAGGTTGAACGAGAGAACATGAGAGTTGGGAGATGATCCCGCAAAACAGCTAGAATTCAGAATTCTATACATTCCTTTACCATCCTGATGCCTGGTGCTGCTTAGCGCAGCAAGAAACTCATGTAACATGGAAGTTCAATTCTTGGATGTTGTGTCCGAAGGAATAAGCTAGAATTTGCTTCTGTAATGTTAAGCTTCGGAACCAAACGCTTCCTGAGAAAGTAGTTTGAGCCGAAAACGCACCACAAATTATAGATGGTTCATATTAGTGGTTGTTGATGGCCAATAAGCCCTTAGCACCGCCTGATTATATCCAGCGGTTCAGGTTGTTTCTGGCTATGCCTGTGGGGATCATTGGCTACGAATTCACCTGTTGCTGGCAGAGTCGTGATCGTGTGCTGTTGATCACCAAAGTTCGCAAATGTCTGGAGAAATGGGGCTACAGCGCCAAAGATGTGCCTTGCCTTGGTTTTCGGGGTTGGGTTGTGATGGTTGTGGCGGTTGTGGTTCGTTGGGTGTTCCTTTGTATATATATATATATCGGGGGATTTTAATCTTCGGAGTGTTTGGTTTGCCCGCATGTTGTTTTTAATGATTGGGTTGGGAGGGCGCGTTTGTGGGTTATTGCCTGACGCTTTGGGCATCCCGCCCTTGAGGAAATCTGAAGGTTTTCAACAAGGAAACCAAGGTAATCCCTTCTCTATAATATGAAACAGCCATCAATACCCCCCCATCATAGTCAATAGATCTATATAATTCATTTCAATCCTCTCTCTGTCTCTCTATATGTAATATATATATACCATATAGATCTCATATGAAATCAGGTTTTCGTGCAGTCGTGCGACTTTACAGCGGGTTGATTGGGAGCTGCAGGGCGGCCACCCCCGGTTTCTCCATCTACCAAAGTGGTGAAAACTTCAAAATGGTTGCTACCATCAAGTGCCCATGTATGATAGAGAAATATTTAGAAATACCTGGAATATACAGGGAGAGAGAGATAAATAATGAATTATGGTGAAATATGATCGAAGGAAGTTTAGAAGTCAAACTTCCGACAATATGGATAGATGGAAAAGCAGAGGTGGGCAGAGTCAGAGAAGAGAAAAGAAGAGAGAAGATCAGAGAAGGAAAAGAGTCAGAAGATCAGAAGAAAGAAGATGCAGGTGCGCGAACTGTGTGTTTCCAATGGTTTGTGGCTCCGGAGGGTCAAAAAGTAGGCTCGCTAAAGCGACGGGTGCGGAGCCATCTGGCCAGATGAGAGATGAAAAATTGCATGCCGTTGTGGCGCGAAGCACATTTCGAAATCAACAGTGTTAAAAACTGACAGGTTCGGACCACTTTTGGAAGTTGAGATGTTGAAAGGTGCACGCCGTTGTGGCGCGAAGCACATTTGGAAGTCAAAAGGGTTCGGAGCACTTTTGGAGGTTGAGATGTTGAAAAAGTGCACGCCCCTTGTGGCGCGAAGCACATTTCAAAGTCAAACTGTACAAAACACACCACGTTCAGAGCACTTTGGAAGTTGAGATGTCGAAAAAGTGCACGCTGTTGTGGCGAGAAGCACATTTCGAAGTCAGAATGCTGAAAACACCACATGTTCGTGCCACTTCTGGACGTTGAAGCGTCATTTTGTGTGGCTGGCGCAAGGGATTCTGCACCCTGCCAAAATTGCCAAAAAGTGACAAAAACGTGAGGGTTTTGTAGCATTTCCAAAAACGATGGCAGTGTGTGGATTTGAAGAGGATCTGCAAAGATGATCAAAGATGCATTTCGCGTGGCATGCGCAATACAAGAGACATGTTCATCAGAGATGCTAGGAGGTCACAGAGTCACAGCGCTGATTTCCTGAGAGGGGTTGCATTTTGGAGCATCAGATCGTCAGGTTTGCGAAGATGATTTTGCGTGACAGGTGCAGCACTTTGTATGATCTGGCATCACTTTTTCGTGGCAGGCGCAGTACTTTAGACAGATGGAGTGGAAAAATCGCAAAACGCATTGGTACGAGGCCGTCAGCTCTGCACTCAACTTTCTACTTTTGAAGGAAGTCTCGCAGAATTGCTTCGTTTTGATGTTATCAATTTGAAAAATTGAGGAAGTCTCGCAGAATTGCTTCGTTTTTGACGTTGTCAATTTGGAAAATTGTGGAAGTCTCGCAGAATTGCTTCGCTTTTGACGTTGTCAACTTCGAACATTGAGGAGGTCTCGCAGAATAGCTTCGTTTTCAACCTTGCAGATAGATAGATAGACAGACAGACAGACAGATATGACGGATAGGTAGATAGATAGACAACTACAACTGCAACTACGGCGACACTACACTACCACTACAGCTACACATATACTACGCTACAGAGCACTAATTAAACTACACTACACCAACTACACTACATTACATTCATTACACTGCACTACGCTACAGTACACTACACTTATTTCACTTCAACTACACCTACAACTACTATTACTAGATATTACTCCTACAGCTACAACTACATTACATTACACTACACTACACTAATTATACATTTCACTACACTACACTAAGACTACAACTACAGCTACAACTACACTACTTTACACATCACTACCCTTCACTAGTTACACTACAACTACAACTACAACCACAACTACAACTACAACTACAACTACATTACACTACAATACACCAATTACACTACACCACACTACGCTACACTACACTAACTACAACTACAGCTACAACTACAACTAAACTACTTTACCCTACACAACACTAAACTACACTACAGCACACAACGCTACATCACACTACACTACACTACATTACATTACACTACACTCATTACACCACACCACAACTACAACTGCAACTGCACAACACTACTTACACTACACTACAACTACAGCTCCACAACACAACTACAACTACAGCTGCGCTAGACCACACTACATCCAGCAGTTGTGGGTGAGGTGACCACTGCAACCATTGCAACCACTCCAAAAAACACAACTCCAACCACCTTTCGGTTTATCAGTGGATTCGCTCAGCCATCCATGCATCACAACAACTCACCTCTCCTATAGTAGCCTATCTTTGCAACTTCCGCCACCGCCTTGTGCGGTACCACTGGTATATATAGAAGAGTATCGTCTAAAGGGTTGATCTTCTCTAGATTCATGTTGCGTGTTTTGTGAATCCGTTTGTCCAACTACCGAGGTCAGAATCTTATTTGCAGCTCGGCCAGTTGCCATTGTCTCACCCGAATTGTCGATTTTTTATATAGATTGCATGGTATGGACCACACGGTGTAACCTGCTATGCACTGACAACGGGTAGAGTGTAGAAGGCCTGTGTGCAGTATGGATATTCCATGTTTTTCCACAGACTGGATAGATTTCTTGTCATTTCAGTAGAAAGGATTGAATCAACCTGGTGCTAGCGGTGCCAGAATGGGATCGTACATAGTCGATTTTGTGGAGGTTTCAACGGTATAGTCAGAATGCACTTGTAGGAACCGTAAGATGCATTATACAGAGTTCTACAATGTGTGTGTTTGGGTCGATTCAAAGACTGTTCAATCTACTTGTATGTCAATCCCATTTCGTACCCAGTTATATGTAGTATATATTGGGATATTCATGGATATATATAATTACCCCAGTTGTATATGGGTGTTTAACAACTTTCTGCGATGTACCCTCAGCTAGGGCACAATCTGCCAGTCATGTCTTGGAAATTGATTCTCACCATGATGTCACCATGAATGATGGGTCGTACGTAGAACCCCCCGTTTAGAAACAATAGTTTTGCTGTATCAGTTACCACTGTAGATGTTACTAGTAGCCGGAAAGATGATGGATACCGTAAAGATGTTGGTATGTGTTTAGTGTACACATGGATCGTTGTGCATCTAGAGCACCAATCTGCGTTGGGGGCATGATTCATTCCCATGCTGGAGAAAGTCGACGGTGACGACTGGAAATATCACCCCAACGTACCCCAACCTTGGTGAAAATGAACCGCCAACGCCAATTTCTTTGTCTGTCAATAGACTAAATCCTCAAATTATAGGCAATGTGGTAAACTTAATCATAGACCATCCCCCAAAAGATCACTCAACGGATATATTTCTGGCTGGGTATAAAGCCTCCAAAACTGGAGCTTTCTGACCCAAGCCCGAGGATTATGTGGATGCAAACGGAGATGGAGATTTAAATCTCAGTGAGTTCATTGAATTGACACTTGGTGACCCAAGCTGGATCTATGTTGGGAAATATCTCAATTTTTTTGATCCTGAAAAAGACTCAAGATTACATATATTATCATATATGTACATCCTAGTTTCACCGTTTTTTAGTGGATCTTCAATCCCCTCAAAAATGAAAAAAATCTCAGATGGGTGATGAAATTACCATCGAATCCCACATCAAGGGGATGGTTTGGATGACAATCCCGGGAAATCATCGACCACTTGGAGAAACCATAATGATCCTGGAGAAACCCAAGATGTGTGGCGAATGGATAGTGCTCAATCACTCATAGCTCACAGCTCCCTTGCTAAGTGTGAACAGTGTTAACTCATGGTCCTCCAATTTTGGTGTTATTCTCAGTTTGGGTAGCTCTGGCTGCTTCATAGCCCTTTTTAGGGGGAATCACCAGGCCGGGAGATTTTGAAAAACCAATCCATTGATCCTTAGGATGAGAAATAAGTTTTGACTGGTTTGAAGCTGCCAGCGACGCATTGGTGTGAAGATGTGTGAAGTTTCGCATAGCAATGTGGGTGTACTACACTGTTCCAGTTTGTGTGAATCATCACCTGAGGATCTGATCATTTACCAGCATCCATGGCTGGTGGTCTCAATCATTTTCAGAATGTGTTCATGATCATCCCCTAGCGGGCCTAGCGGCTAATGTCTTGAAGAAGTTCAAACCACCAATCAACATGTAATAAAATGTAATAAAATACAATTAACACATAAGATTAAGATGTCCCTTGAAACGTCCCTTGAAGCCTTCCAAAAAAGGTCCCATACGGTGGAGTTGAGGTCACAAATGGGTATGACCATGGTTATAAACCCTATTTTTGTTGGGATATGGGGCCCCTACAACAATGGTGATATACCGTGATATACCCTCCGGGAAGCAAACATGGCAATCGGACATCCCCTATAAATGAAAGGGTTAGTGGGGAAAATATGGGGAACTCATTTAATTACATATGTATATATATATATACTATAAACATATATATATATCATAATAACAATAATTATATATATATATAATAATATTACTACTAATAATAATGATAATGATTTAAATATATATATATTATAATATATTTGATGAATATATATATATAATAATAATATATATGATAGTAAATATGATAATATAAATATAATAATTTATATTTAATAAAAAAATATAGTAATATGTATATAACGATATGTATATATATATATAAACAATGATATATATAATAAAATAGTATATATATAATATAATAGTATATATATAATAATAATATATATAGAATAATATATATAATGAATATACATTTAATAATATACATAATAAATATATATTTAATAATATAGATAATAAATATATATATATATAGAATAATTGTAATAATCATAATGCTCATAATAATATCTATATATATATATTGTAAAATATATAAATATATCATTTTTTAAATAGTACATATATATATATGAAATATTTATAATACGTATATATATAATATATATCATAATATATATCATAATATATATCATAATACATACATATATATATAGATAATATATATATTTAATAATAATATATAATAATATATATAGTTATAATATTAATAATATATATATATAATTATATTTAGAATAATGATTAATATATATATATATATAGATAATATATATAATAATAATATATATAATAATATATATAGTTATAACATTAATAATAATATATATACATAATAATATTTAGAATAATGATTATTATATATATATATGTATACATTACATATATATGTATATAAACATGTTTGAGTTTCCATTGCCACGTTTGATTACCGCAGGGTATGTCCACTTGTAACCACGTCCAGTCGTAGAACATTTCACGGCCCAGGATTCGACAAATGCGTATCGGTCGCTGGGCGGCGGCCCAGGGGGCCCAGGGGGCCCGGGGGGCCTGGGGGGCCCAGGTCATTCAGGAAGTATGTGGAAATATCATGGATAACCTTGGGTTATTAAGAGGGTTTGACTATTATAAGGCTATACCTATATGGAAATATATATGGATAAACTATAATGGAAGTATACATATATACATATAATGGGTTTAACTGTTTACCCGACTAAAATAGGGCTTTCACCACCTGGTGAGGTTTTACAGAATTTATGGGGTTGGGAAGTTGTTTTTTTCTTACCATTGGATTTTGGTAGCTGAGATTTTTTGATATCGGAATGAACATCCACAAATTAGTAGATAGCTTGGAAATGAAAACTGGCATACCCGGCTGGATTTGAACCCTTACCCCATGTTTCCAAAGATTTGAACCCTTACCCCATGTTTCCAAATCTCTGGGAGCATCGGTGATCATTCGTTGGTCCAGTCGGGGGGCTGGTTGCAAGTAGTTTGAAAGGTGTATCAGCGTATATAGTCGTATATATATATGTTCTTAATTATAGTGGTATGTATGTTGTGTACATACTGTACGCATATGATGCATATGTAGATATATATATACACGATATGTGTTAATATGTATATATATATATATGTATAGATATGCAGTATGTCTATGTTAACCAGGTCTGTCCTGGTTTGGTAGGGACATTATTTTTGTCCGTATGGAATTGAAGCCTAGGGAAACTCACCGACAAAAACTCATAGGATATGAATTAATGGTATAATAATGGGTAACATAGGATAGATTCATGAAATCATATATAACCCGATATATTGACAACGAACAGTATGATGTGGGTTTGTCCAAAATGGATGAACATAGGGCATCGCCTGATTTTTTTGGGCTGGGGAGCATGATTAATCAGCGGACTTTTCTGTATACATAACCCAGTTTGGTCTGACCATACATGGTGTACCCCAAAGTCCAGTGCTTCTGTCATGTTTCTTTTGCCAAAACAATGTTCCCTCTAAAATTTGCGTCGAGTTAGGGTATACGTCATTCTCGTTCAAGTTCAAAAACTTAATTGGGTGTCCTGACTTTTGAGTTGAATATGTATTGTTTGTCAAAATGTCGCCACAACCAAGAGCCGTCGTTCTCTAGCTGGTTGGATCATTTGGTAAAGTGTGCTATCAATCAACCGTACACCTAGCAGGTTGTTGGACAGTTTTGGATGGATTCAAACCACCAACAAACTGCTGTTCAAGGTATCAGCGTTGAAAGCGCTTTCGACCTATTTACCTTGTTTGATGACGAGACTTGGAGGCCATAGTATACGAGGAATCATCCCCAAATGGCCGAAGTTTCAGGGAGAATTACCAAAATTAATCCAGACATATCCAGAAGATTCAGGAGTTGGTGCTTCTGTAGATCTGGATTGTAGATTGAAAATTTGGAACAGTAGATGTTTGTGCCCACGTAGCATGTCGCAGCTCTAAGTCCTTGTGGGTTTCAGTCTTCGTTCCACATGAATTTTGATAAACCCCAAAAGGATAGAAAAGCCACATCCTACTAGCTGATCACACATGCACTGTTCCTTTTTGGGGGTGTTATTTTAACTATTAGCATAATATGATTTAAGTTATATATATATATTGTTTATGTACAATATGTGAATATATATATACATATCCAATCATATCCACATTTTCTGAGGCATCAGTTTATTCTACCTCGACTACCGGAGTCATTGTTACGAACGGTCTTTAATCTTTTTTTTGATGATCCTGAGGATAGATCCGCAACAAATGTGCTTGGGAGTGGTTGAAAATGTTAAACTGTTTGTCACACACATATTATTTTTATATATGGCATTATACGGCAAAGTATGGAATGTATAGAAAAAAATATATATAGAAATACATAGACTAAGTTATTTTGTGGAATAAAAAAAGGCAAAGTATTGTATAGAAACTGTTTAACATTAAGTTGTGTCATGTTATTTCTCATTGGTCAACGATGAAGAGAAAGGTCATCTGGTCATCTGGGATGGTCCACAATCTGGGCAAATTGTTTGACGACCGAGCCCTGTCCCGAAGCCTGGAATCATGATTAATAAGAGGAATCATCCCAAAATGGCCCTTCATTTCAGCTTAGTGAATTATTATTTTTTTCCCATTGCAATTTAAAGCCTTACAGGCACTCAGACAGAAACTAACAAAAGCGTGCAATCCGCGACAGCAGCTCACATCCGGGTGTCAAAGCACCCCCAATCTGGTTTCCAGCTAGAGCGGAATTTCTTGCCGTCAAGAAAAGAGCTGGAGCAATAGAGGCAAGCTTGTACATATATTGACCAGACATTGGTGGGATTGACAGGGACCAGGTGGATGCCTAGAGCTACCTGACACCGTAACCCAAAGGAAGAGCCTAACGTATTGTTGATAACTGAAGTGTCAATGCCCGGCAATGCCTCAGAGATTAAATCTTTAAGGTAGCGATGACATCGATGTATTAGTCGTCCAAAGCCCATATCTTGGTTAAAAAGGGGAGAAACAAAACCCAACCTTGAGATAAAGTCAATCAAAACAATGGACCACGGGGTAAAAGCAGTGATTGGCGATGTTCCACTGCACCAATACGCTTCGCGCATAAACCGGTGAATGGCATCAGCGCAATGCGGAGAGCTAACAGCTTTAGGTACAGGTGAATTTGAGACATCTAACCCTTGGACAACTGCGGTTCGATGTGTCACCCATTGATTGAATTTGGGATATTGTTGTTTGAGCGCATCCCAAATGCGATTGGGAACGAAAGCGCCAGAGTTGAGCAAGTTCAGGAAACATCGCTCCAACTCCCCTACTACCAATGTAGTTAGACAAGTTCCACGGCACAAAAACAGGAGCAGGAGCTTTGCCCCTTATCCTACGGCTTGGTGGGCAAGTGCACTTACGAGCTGTGGCGACTTTAAGTGTAGATAGAGCGCGGTCAACAATCTGATCATGATCCGGTGGCTGGGTTAACAAGTTCCTATTCACAAAGGACTTGATCAAATGAATTTGCACAGCTAGAATACAGTTGACATCACACACGCTATGATCAGAATGTTGTTGGAACTGTCGTTGGCATAAACTCTTAGCTAATGCGTCTGCTTTTTCATTGCCTTCAGTTAAACCAGGGTCTTGACTTGGGTCACGTCCATGAGCTGATACTTTGGATACATGTACTGTTCGATGGTTTAAACTTGTTTCAGCGGCTATGAGTGTCCACAAGTCAAAATTGTCCCAAGAACGCAAAGATGAAAAGCCTTGTGCATTACGACTTTGTTCACGAAATCCTTTGACTATGGTTGCACAATCGGTAAAAATATGGGCGTCTCCGTCTGTTACCTTTAACGCCAGCAAGATCGCTCCCAGCTCGGCTCTTTGTGAACTTTGGTCGAGCCCTGGGAGGGGTCTTGCCAGCTGCAATATTTGCGGAATATATACTGAGCAAGCTGCCGACTCTAGTCTACCCGACTTTGAGCGAATAAAACTGCCATCAGTAAAAATTCGGTCGCCCGGTTGGAGTACATGTTTTGGAGGTAAATCGCCAAATTGGAATGGTTGGTCTTGTTGTAAACGGAACTGTGTGTCACGCTCGCTTTCCCATAGAACACCCATGGTCCATGACGTATCCGGCATTTGCACTGAAACTTCCGGCGGCGGATTCGTTGGACAATGTTTGGACATATGCAAGAGATCATCGTCTGCATCGCAATGTTCGCATTTTCGGGAATTTACCAGGCCTGCTTTAAATTTACGGGGCCCGTCAAAAATTGATCCGGCTAAGAAATTTTGGATGATATTTTGGGCATGGTCAAGTTTGACTGGTAAATTCCGCAGTTGTTCTACTAAGCCAGGTGCAGGTACTACAGTGGAGAAGTCGTTGTCGAGGAAAAATCGCGTCGCGAACATATTAATCACACCGTCCCGCGAGTCGCCTAAGTTGTCATGCCTTATTGGGGATCTACGGAAAAGTGAACGCCTGACGGATCGTTCCAAGTCATCGTCGAAAATTTGTTGCTGCCATAGAGGAGTTTGAAGTCTGTATCGCCCGGCCGTTTGAAGGACAAACCGTCGGCCCATTCCCATTCCAATTCCCGAACGACAGCGGCCAGAACCGCTGGAGCGCCAGAGGAAGTTCGAATGGCATAAGGTTTGATCTGTCGGGCTTGACGAAAAACTTTTGCCACCAAGTCGGGCTGACGGCGGTGTAACTTTCTATATGTGAGCAAGACATGTCTAACCCAAATAGCCCAAGGATCAACCCAAACATTATCCCATGTAGACATGGTCAAAAAAGGGCATCTCATCCGGTTTTTCTTTGGGAAAACAGTATTGACAACAGCTGTCCTCAAATAATTAAATGCTTTCTTATTCGGGGGGGCAACTTCAGACCCATATAACCATCGGCTATGACCTGCAGTTTTAATATATCGTGATTTGAGTTTGGCTGGAAATGGAAGCTTGCCCATTTTCCGAATGGTTGCAGCAGCTGCTTTCGTTTTCAGGTCAACGGCTCTAGCAAGTCCCTTTGTCGTCACTGCTTGTTGAAACCCTAAAGACTTGACACGCTTTCTGTGGGGAATCTGTTTGCCTACTTGGAGGAGAAATCTGTCGGCGTCTTTCGCCTTTTTGGTTAGGAGCGCAGACTTAGCATTGTTTTGAACTTGGCCAATAGCCTGGTCAAAAGCTTCGAGAGCTGTGGTTGCTTTGATGAGCTCAGGTAGGTCTTGCTTACTAGCCCATAGCTTTGTATCGTCAATGAACGCAGAGAAGGTTACCCCTGGAAACTGCTCAATCCTTTTCGCAAAAACAGAGAAAATCAGGTTAGCAAACAAAACACTAAAGGCGCAACCCTGCACCACCCCGTTGGAATGGAGGACCTGATTTCCGTAAGCGTTATTGAGCTTGAAGAATTTGACCTGATGGTTATAGAAGTCTGTAAGCGGTTGGCATATATGAGATGGTAATCCTAGAGTGGATCCGAGTTGAATACAAAATTTTGGCAGCAACAGGTCGAAACATTTCCAACGATCAATAAATATAACGATAGAAGTGTTGTCAGGGGCTTCGTCCGAATCAAACAAGTGGCTAGATAATTCGATTTCTGAAGGGGTAGCCGATCTATGGGGCAATCCGCCCGCGAGTGAAGGGGGGGCCAAATTTCCCAACCATGGCGCCAATTGTTTGAAGCGGACAGATGCCCAGAAGGAATAGAAAATTGACGTAATTCCAATGGCCCGGGTAGATTCAGGGGTCCATTCATGGGTTTTGGGGATGGCAGTAATGGAAACCAAATGAAATGATTTGGGCCACTTCCCACTAGCTTCAACAGTAGTGAAGAAAAGCTTGATGGCCTTCCATGCGCACGGTGGCAATACTTGAATTTCCTTAATCTTCCATCCATCCAAACCCGTGGCTTTATTGGCGGGTTTTTTTTGGAAAAGTTTCCACATGTTAACCGCATCAAAAGGGGGAAGTTCAGTTGGATTCTTCAAACTGTTGATTTCATCCTGAAACATATTTACAAATTGTGCGAAAAGTGCATCTTCATTGGTATTCCGATGATGGTTATAAATCTTTTCAGCATGATCTTTCAGGAGGGAAAGAATCTCATTAGGGCTCCCAGTTAAGGATCCATCAGGGCGAACAAGTGTTTTGGGGTGCGAAGGGGTAACCCCTTTTAACCATCGAAAAACTTCCCTCTTATCCGCAGAATTGGAAATCCTAAGTCGATCTTTCCACTCATGGATGGCTTTAGTGGAGTCCTGCATTTGTTTGTCGAGATCACATGTTGTCAATGCCTGGTTAGCAGCACTAAGGAATTCAGTGACTTGTTGTTGGGAGAACCCTTGTGTAGGAACCGTGCACCCTAAAGTCCCCAAACCCTTGGAGGTATTAATCAAAGTCCTCTTTAGGTGAGTCATCCAAACAGGATTATCTTCATGTCTCTGCTGGTTTTTCTTGGACAATTCATGCAATTGCTTACGAATCTTTAAAGAAACTTGTTGATATTGATTTTGCTTACACGGTGGTGGAAGGAATGGCTTTTGTTCGAAAACCGGAATATCACCCCTACGTGACTGAATGAACTGGCCAGTTATACAGTTTAGCATCTCGTGCATCATACGGGTCAAACTATCCCAGAGAGTTTGGGGGTCACCCTCTTCAGCTGCCCGAACAAACGAAGGAATATACTTTGTTAGGATCGGGTGGCAAATTGCATCCCTTTCATCCCATTCTTCTTGAGAACAAGGTTTGTGGGGAAGGTTCCACTGAGGGTGTTGTTTAAGCCCAAAAACCATCTCATGGAAAACCTGGCACTCTAATCTTATAACGACTGGACAGTGACCAGGCGCAACTGGACCTCGAAAGATGCTTGCTTCTTTTGCCGCTGATCTTGCCAAGTCGTTCAAAAAGAGATGGTCGATTCGAGTTTTTCTCAAACCCCGAAAACCTGACGCCCACCCATTTCCTGAGTAGGTGGCCTCGGGCTCTAAGTTCCTGGATCTGCAACAATCAGCATAAAAATCTGACCACCGATTGGAAGCCAATACTTGCGTAAGTGCACTGGAATCCTCCGGAGCACATTGGAGATCACCTCCAACTACTGTGGGGGATGTGTCAAAAATGGAAGCAAAACTGAAAATATCCGACAGCAAAGTTTCACGCTCATCAATTACAGATTGACCGCTTGGTAGGTAGCAATTTAACACAACAAATCCTGATCTCCCATCATCAGAAGGAATCCATAGTGGCATACATACCCTTTCGAGATGGCTCCACCCAGATTGAAATGACAACAGCCGTGCTGGGTGGTCACGAGGAACCAAAGCAGCCAGGCCTCCCCATGATTGGCGTAAAGAAGCCTTATCAGACTTAATCGCTCTGATTGGGGGTTGATGTCCAACTAAAAGGTCCCACCCAGCATTTCTGGCCCGAAGTGTCAAAGAATTGACCCGGCTGGCAGGTATTCGTGTTTCTTGAAGAATGAGGCAACCCAAATCAGGGCACGAGTTCGCAAAGTTAAGGACTGTATCAAGCCTTTTGGGCAATGATGTGACATTTAATGTAGCAATCTGCATTGGCCCTTCACCAGGGTAACCTTTACATGGGGAAAACAAATGAGCGAAATAGAACAAACTTGTCATGAAGGATGTGAGCTGCATCAAACGACAAAATTGTGTCGTCCTGTTCTCGTTCAGATTTGGCGGGGGCTGGCAAGCCCTGCGCCCAGGTGAAAAACTGAAAGAGCAGGCATGACAGCAAAAAAATATACGGCCAGAGCCGCATGCTTGTCGAGTCGCGAATGGTTGAATTACAAAAGATTGAATGAGCAAGACACTGAGAGCGCTTCTGGCTAACATTCTTCTGGCAAAACTGCGGCGTTTCCTGGCATAACGCCCTTGTTCAGATTTTCGGGGTGGTATCTTACAGCAGAGGGTCCCAAACCGGTACATATAGTTAATGAGAACACAATAGAAAGGAGCCAAAGCAACCACCCCGGCGAGTGAGACGCCCTGCAACCCACAAAGAAAGCCCAGAACCATCTCACCAAAAAGTAGCAAACACGGAGAAAAACATTCAGGGAAACTGAAGTTTAATGATACTTTGCCACCTTTGGCGCTGGGGATGGAACCGGGGTTGAGCTCAAAGACTCACCTGGTTTCGAAAGCTTCAGATCAGCAATGGCATCAAGAAGTTGTTTAAATCCCGAATCCTGGCTGGCTTTCAAGGTGCTAATCTGCTCTTTCGTGGTTTCTTGGCCCTTTTCCAGCTTTTCTACCTGCGCGCTGAGGGTCACAAACTTCTTTTCCATAGCATCAATCCGATTACTTGTGTTGGCATGGGCTGCAGATGCCCAAGGATCACCCGCTGCGAGATTGGAACTTGATGATGCCGTTGAGGGGGTAGTGTCACCCTTCTTTTCGGCAGTGCCTGCCTTGGCAAGACTCTGATCTTTCGCAAACTTCTGCCTAGCAATCTGTCCGCGATCCTGTGCTTCTAGGGGTGTGATGAGCAAGGATCCCAAATTGGTAGTGAATCGCAATTGTGGCGGATCTGAATTTGATCCAACTACCAGGGTTGACAATTCGGCGTTCTGAAAGGTTCGAAGCACGACCATGTTCCATCCTTTCTCATGCATGATCTTGGTAGCGTCGTTCGCCTGTATCCCCACAACGAACCCTTGGACTTTGAAGAACTTGGTCAGCTTCAAGTCTCGATTGTTGGCAGTCCATCTCGGGTCATCAGGGAGCCAAAACGCTCGCATCTCGGACAATTTGGCATCTGTGCTTCTGATGTAAGTTGCCTTTGCTGAGGAGAAGGCTCCTAGCCATCCAGTCTTCGTGTGTCCCTGGTGCCAGATTTCGTGAAGAGATTTCCCTGTTTCAGGGACCCTAATCAGTTCCAAGCCATCTTCATGTGGTGAATTGGTCTGCCGGAGAGACTTCACTGTAATCCCTTTGAAGCCAGAATGCGCATACACTTGATCACGAATGTGGGCTGGTATGAGGGCCCGCCTGAAGACATATCCTTCTCTGGGCACCGTGGGGAAGAATGTTGTCTCACCTTCAGGGTCTTCTTTCTCAATGATCTGGGACGTGTATCTAGAGAAAGCAGAGGAATCAGAGAAAGCTCGCCAGAAATCATCTGAGGTCGTTGCCTTCCGAATCTCGAAGATGACATGAACTGATTGCAGATCAGGAACTGTGATCTCACAGCCTTCTTCATTCTTGAAGATGAAGCAAGCGGGGTCGTCACACAAATTCACCAAGGTCACGGCTCTAGGCTCAACAACCATGGTGCAGGAATCTTTCAGCACCAAAATGGCCTGCTGAAGCTTTGTCTTCTCAAATCCCCACTTAATCAGCTGCTGGATTTGGAAGCCCTTCACAATGGCAACACACGGATTGGTTGTTTCCAACTTCAGAAGTTTCCGCATAGAGGTCATGGTGACAAAGACAATCCCTTTGGCTGCTGGGTTGAGAGTATCGCTGGAAATCATCTGCAAAGAATGGATGGAAGAGCCATCCTGCAGGGCAAGCTCACATTTATCTGACAATTCCATGCCAATCTTCTCGCCAGATGTTTCCCAGCGACATCTTTTCGCCAGTCCAGGCTGATGAGATGCCATTGCAACGGCACAAGGGCTCCAGAGGAGGAGAAGGGCCGACCAGGCCGAAATCAAACCAAAGAAAGAGAACATGTCTGCCAATCCAAGTGTAGTTGGAAGGAGCAAAATGGAACCAAATCAACAAAAGAACTACGCCAGGAATTGGTTAAGGCTACACCCCAATAAGAGCCCCCACCACTTCACGGTTTCCTGGGCTGGGAGGCCCGGAGGCCACGCATCAACTTTGAGCTGACACGGCTCTTAGTGAATTATTATAATTTGCCCATATATATATATATTATATAATTTGATATCACTGAGTGCATTTGAGAGTCCAACGATTTCTGTTTCTTTGAAGACATAAATCCACAGATGATTCATGCCATAAGGGCCCATTCGAAGTGACCAGATCTACGAGGTCTTCTTGCTTCGATCTAAAAGGTCTGAAACAAAGACTAAGGACAACAATGGCACGCTGGACGCAACGGAATTCTTGCGGCACATTTTTCCAGAACAGTATGTCAAAGATCAACAAGAGAATCTCGGCGCACGTTGCCAAAGATTCTCGTGGTGAAGTGCCTTGTGTGTCAACGGTTAGGCATCCGGGAAAAAGTCTATAGAAATATAACATGTATATAGCATGTGTAACGTAAGGTAATGTAGTGTAGCGTAACAGATAGTGTAACATGATATTTTGAAATATAGTAATGTATTATTGTACTGTATATCATGAAACTAATTATGTGTATTGAATATGTGCTATATGATGCCGCAATATAATGTAATATGGTTTGGCCGGGTTTGACGCAGGAACAGGGTGACATGTAATATTTTATGAAACAAGAATAGGATATGATTCAATATAGCAGAATACAATAAATCAAACACCAATCACATTTAATTTGGTTTTGAATTTTGTTAGTTTAGTTCATATGATACAATAAAAATAGTGTAATATGATAAAACATAGTTCAGTATAATTGGCTGCAATGTATAGACTACAGTCCGATATCTCATGAACTATTCGTGGTAGGGGGTTGTCCCGGACACAAAACGGTGTCAACAGCATTCAGAGTAAAACATATACTATTACTATGCATACACCAAGATGTTGCTGTGCGACTATATCACCAGTTCTGGTGCTAGTTCAGCATCTTAAGCCACCAAAAGAGGATCGAGAAATGGCTGAAACTACATGAAATCACATTAGTTGGATCTGGTATGATTGGACATGAGTCAGGGTTAGGTACCTTATCAAATTTTAATGGTCCAGGACCAACAGTGACCAAAAATTACAGGCCCCTCGCAAGCATTTAGACCAGTTGTGCACCACTAGAACATGTCCATGATTTTTGTTTCGTATTCGTGGGTTCAAACAGCGGTTTTGTATGGTTTTGTTCTGTAAATCCTACAATCCTACCTTGGATGACGATCCCACTTGACCTTGTTGGGCCAGGATTTTGAATTCGCTTGAAACATCTAGCGTATTCAGACCAAGGATCAGAAAAGTTCATCAGAAACCTGAGCAATGCATAACCATGGACCATAGGTTTCCAGTCCACAGGGCAGATCATGATGCGATTGTCCACTTCGTAGTACTTTAAACCTCTACCTGTTCCTACAAGTTCCTACCAGATATGTATGTTTGGAACAGGGTCAACATTCGTCAGTTTTGGGTGAGAAACCAACAATCCCATTGTGTATGCAGTCTACGAGGAGACCCAACCAACTTCAATATCACTTAGAAAATATGTGGTGAGTAATTAACATAGCTGGAGGCAAACAAAAAATATTTCAAAACAGTACATATTATGGTTGGGTAGCACAAGAAAGCACTGCTTCATGGATCCAATCAACGGTTTATAACATTATGATTATTGGATGTGGCTTATCAAAGATTTCCACTAGATCTTTGTTCAAGCTGTTGACAACAGCAACATTGACAGGTCGAAACAGGTCATTTTTTAGAACTTTGCCGCTCAAAATCATCAGACTTGGATGGAATGAGTCAAAACCCTGCATAATAATGGATTATACTGGGTTATGATGAATTCTTATGGGGGATGAACAGCGGTAACAACTAGTTATTCTGATGCGAGCTGTGCTCAAAACTCCTGCTGATTGATGATTGTATGGGATTATACCAGCCAATATACTGGCATAGTTATAATCATCATAGTCATTATAATCCAGTAGAAAATTCTATTAAACCAGCCACAACCAGCCAGTACAAAAAGGGACGACAGGGGGTAAATTGAACACTTCTCAGCGGTTTTCAAAGCCACCAAGATTGTCACCAACTCCATATGGTCTGTCCCAGGAAGCAGACACCTCCAAGAAAGAGCCGCGCAGTGGTGGGCGAGGTCGCCTGTCTTTGATGGGACGGTGTTTATCCATCACTAGTTTCTTTTTGTACCAACGAAAATAATAACCTTGATAAATGGCATGGTGATTTATCATGATTTACCAACATGTTTCTGTGTTTGACGAACCCCCATCTCTTTGGGTTCGTGTGTAGTCAATCGTAATCAGAATGGATGACCATGTATGCATATTATATGTACGTATATATATATATAGACATAATTATATTTATAGACATAGACGAACGAACCAGCAAATGGATGATTTTCGGTGATGCTGTGGATTCTGGTTGAGTCATTTCATGTAATTACTTTGGGCTTGGAAAACTATCGTGCGATATCGTAAGTGTGTGTGTGTATATATGTATATATATATGGGTAAATTATAGTGATCTCACTGTGATCTCACTGTGATCTCACTGTGACCTCACTGGAATCATGATTAGGATTCGGGGAATTATTCCAATATAGCCGAACTTTTCATGATAGTGAGTTGTTGAAAATTTGCCAAGCTAATATATGTATAAATATATATATACACATACACACGTTCATGCGGCAGTTCTTAACCCTTGCTTCGCCCTCCGGCCTTGGCGTCGAATGCTGGATGCCGGCCTTGATGGTTTATAGCCATAAAACTGGTGGATCCTATTGCTTTACTAAAAGGCATACCCTCTGGTAAATGTTTACATAACTATGGAAGATCACCAATCTTAATGGGTATATCAACCATTTCTATTGCCATTTTCAATAGCTATGTTAGTTTACCAGAGGGTAAGGATGTGATTTTCCCAATGCGTAGAACCTTTGTTTGTAGCCAATAGTGCAAGGCTATGCCGCGATACTGTTGGCTGTACACTTCCCGATACTCTAAATACTGCTGGTAGCCAACAGTACATACGACTAATTGATGTATTTCCACCTTGTCGCTAGAACTATTGGAGTAAATGAGAGAAACTTAGTAGCTACTACAATATATATATATACTTTGTTTCAGACAAAAAACTTATTCAACAATGACACAACTCCCAAAGAAATTGACAAGTACTGTAATTGAGCATTCTTTTTGTCGAGTTCTGCGGTTCCATCGTTTTGGAGATGATATAACATTACATACTAATACATACTATAGTTACTGTAGCCTATCTACCTTAGGACACCAAAAAAGAAAAGGCCCCATTTCAAATCATCAGTACCTGGCCATTTTTCATGACAGCGACATCCAGGCCTTGCAGCACCTGGAAAAGATCCAGGACTCCCATGAGTCACGTGGCAAAAATCTCATGGCGATTTGGGGATTTCTTTGACCATGATTTAAGCATCCTTTCTAGGTATCTTGTTTTGGTTTTTTAATGGTTGTTTTTTTTTCTGTGAAGGTGTTGTTTGTTCTTGTTTAATGGTTGTTTAACTGTGTTTCAATGTATTTTCATGTTTTGAACCAGCTATACATGGGACAATTGTATTACATGTTGGTTCTTTGTCCCATTAAACAAAAACATGAAACCAGAGATGAGTTACTGTATTAATGGGACAAAGAACCAGCTTGGGACAACCCCACGAATGGCATGATTATCAACATTCGAATTTTTCTGATATTTTTTCGGGCTAGCCGATTTTCAGCCCATGAGCGATGGTTTTCTAAGCATCAAAAACATTGTGAAACATCATGTTTAGTTTGTTTGTTACCATCCAACATAATGCTATAGGGTGATTCACTTGATTTTCTGCGGGGGAATAATCTTTTTTTTTATTATCTTTGTTCTTATTAAAAGCTATCGATTTGACTGTATTTTAGCCGTTTGGGTCAGCTTGGCGTTGTCCTTGAGCATGATGGTTTTATGCCGAATTTATGCCCATTTGAGTGGTAAAATGTTTATCATTTCCCACTCAAATCCTGGGGGGGTATCCCATAACTTTGTGAAAACCAGCTATTTGACATCATATTATTTGGTAATTTGTTTCCATATGGATATATTATCAACTCTATAATCACAAATCTGTATATCACAATATAATATGTGGTTATACTATACCCTAACTATCAGATGTGTTCTCCTATGTTTTCGGGAGGTTGTATCCCCAAAAGATCGTTGTTTGAGATTTGAGGAATGTTTCAATGGTGTTTTTACATTTTGGAGTTTCTGTGGTAATTCATGAAAAACCCAAAACGGATACTTGACGGGTGATATTTTGGAATTTTGGCGCCCCAAAGATTTCAGCCATGGCCGGATGAAACATAAGGATTTGATGGGTAGGGGAGAAAAGATAAGATACTATATAATTTGGGGTTACCCATCTAGAATCTAGATTCTAGATGTCGGTATAACAAGCAACATCATATATATATATAACTTGGCCTATCAGAAACGTGACTGTTGTCATGACTGTTACTGGGTTCGGGGGACAACCAATATACGACCAACAACGTACAACCATGACGACTATTGCAGACATATCATTAGTCATGTGGTTTGTAGTTTCAACATGAGATATGTCATCTCTGTTTGAGATCATGATGCCCTGTTTCTTTAGTGAGTCGGACAGCCTTCCGGTATTTTCCAATCTTCATTTTGCAGTTTTGCATGGACCGTACTGACTCTTCTTGTCCTATCTGCCAAGGAACTCCGCAGAACACTTCTGAAAGCCCCATCTGAGCAGTGTTCAAAAGCCCTGTTGGTTGATGGTAGTCGATTATACTACCGATATTGGGGATTATATATATATATATCACTGATCTCGTTTAATCCAATTAATAACACATAATAATCCAATCAATAATAATAATCCAATTAATAATACATAATCTGCGAACAGTGAATATACATAATAATCCAATGAATAATCCATTGGGGGGAATCCCTATTAGCCAAGCAGTATGTATAATTGAATGACAGAGACATTTTGAACACTGCCCATCTGCTCTCAAAGTGCTTGGCTTTGGAAGCGGCATGAGGGATTCAAATCGATTCAGCCTTGGCTTGGGATGAAACCAATCTTCTGCTCCGTGTTTATTCTTGTTGGGAACATCTAGGAACTGAAATGCTTAGCTGCCAGAGATACAAGATACGGCGGAGGATGCATCATGTACATTGTATAATATATAATATACACACATACAATTACATACATAGTTAATAAGTTATTAGTAGATAAATATATGCATGTACGTATGTATACATCCAAATATGTGTCATACTTTTTGTGTATTACATGTTCATTTTTGCATGCAGATGTTTTCCTACCAGCAAGTATTGATAGTTTGACAAGAATGTTGAAACTGTATTTCAACGGCGATGGGAATGAACCACCGTATGACAGTGATTGTGCCAGAGATGCAAGTTATTTAACCATATTTAACCATTTTTAACCAAAACACATGTGATTTAATGTCATCACAACCGAGCTTTCAACTAATAAGACTACGGATTCAATCGACCGTTGAAGCCTTGAATCAGCTCGCAAGTCAAGGCTACGCAAAAAAAAAAAATCAAGAAATTCTGGCGTGCAAGCGGCCTCACGAAAAAGAACTTGGTTTGGCTCCAGCGTGGGTCATCCCAAACACATTGCGGCACTTTCTTCACCGCGACAACTACAAGCAAGTAAGAATGCCTATGATTTGCGCATTCACATGCAGACCTACCTGCAAGCCTGATCTACAGATTCATAATAATAAATAATGCATAAATTATCATAAAATGATAAACAGAGATCTGTCTACAATTTTGAGTTGAGAACAATAAAATTGTCATTATCTATGATCCTATGGATTTCTTCAATTCAGTTTCCATTTAGATCATATAGATCCATGTAGGGTCATTGATTTCTTGCTCTCATGTTGCACGTTTTTGGGATGGCTCAATGCCCTTTCAACGGACGCGGCTGTTGCATCGCCGTAAGGTAAGTTCCCTGGATGTTTCTTCCGGGTCATGGGTCAAATGTGGGGTTATAAATGTCATCAGCTCCGTGGCTGGAACATCCCGGCCTAGCCATGGAGGTTTAGTTCGGTTAAAATCATCGAAGTGTTGGTGGAATTTCCAGCCTGCGCCATGTTTGATGACATCGGTCATTTTGACCCATACCCATCCCTGCGCCGATCTCAATTTGCTCAATTTGGGCCTTGGTTCTTTCATCAATCCATGTCAATCCTATCGGGGATCTGGGCCAACCCTCTCGAGTCTCACCTGCTGAGATCTTCGACTCAAGGTCAAAGGCTGAGCAGAAAAGAACGCAGCGGATGATGATATGGGGGCTTCCATAAATAGGACCCCAAAACGGATGGTTTATAATGGAACATCCTATTCAAAATGGATGATTTAGGGGTACTTCCCATTTTAGCAAACCTCCATATAGTCTATATATATATATAGGTACCCTCTGATAGAGATGGCTAGAAAATTATCTTTCCGCTACCACGTCGACCGTAGCTTGTATCTCTACTTGAATGCTTGAATCTTGTGCTATCGGAATGCCGAAATATGCAAGCTGGGAATTGTCCGATCAGGTTATATATATATATTTGGATATTTTTGGACTATGGGCGAAAGTGAATCACCCTTAGAATGATTTGGTAAACATCTCAATATGGAGGTGGTTGGATTTTTGGGACGTCAAGACCGAAGACCGGAAGACACCCATGGATTGAGGCAGATGGTGAACTATGTGAACATCAAAAACGCTATAGAAACCCATGGATCTGGGGGTATCAAATATACCCACATGAATGGATCATGTTTTTTTCATATCATCATCCAGCAAAAATGAATTTTAATTCAGTATTTGATCCATTCATGTGGTGCTATGGGTGATATGGGTGATATGGGTACTGAGATGGGAGTACAAGCAACATCAAGCCCCAAATGATTAGCTAATCTTTCTATGGTTCTGTTGGCTATGCCTCGTATCCGAATTAAATATATAGCTATATAATGTGTTATAATATTATATATTGTTATTATTAGTTTTATACATAATATACATTATATATATTATATATATATATCGGTTTGGGGGGATGTCCTATGAACTAGCGCCACACGCAATCATGGGGCCTTGGTTTTTCGAACTGATGGATTTGTGGGCTTCCCAGTTGAGTCATGCCCACTCGTTATAGTCCTCAATGCCTCCTTTTGTGATATTCCCTGGCAGAACAACCTGGTTTTTGCCATGTTTGTGCTGGATTACCATGGTTTAGCAGCCTCTGGTAAACTAACATAGCTATGGAACGTCAGCCTTTTCATAGCTAAATCATCTATGAAGGGGTCCATTTTCCATAGCAAGCTGTTAGATTACCAGAGGGTATCACAGGGTATGGGATCTATGGATCTAACTGATCTGCCTCCAGAAACCGACCATGGGACCATGGGACCATGGGACCATGGGACCATCGCCAGGACAGTTGGGCCGAATTCCCATCGGATTCCCAGTGGGATTGGACAACAGCCCTTGTCCGTCTGGGGCCCTGATCCTGACGGCCTGGAACGTGAGTTCATGACCTTCGCGAGAGGGTCCGAACATCGGGGATCCCAAAAAAAACATCCTAAAACCATAGGTTTCAATACTTAAAAAGATTAAAATGGTCTAATTTTGGATGATTTGGGGTGGAATTACTATTTTTTGGAAACACCCAAATCATACTGAAAAACTCACGATTGGCAACTTATCGTGTCTTGGATGTCCTATATATCTGTAGAGTTATCTAGATAAGAGCTGGTAAGCCCTTCCCCTAATATCCCCGAATGTTAGAGACCCCGTTCAATGAACGGATCGCATTTGACGACGTTTCCCAGCTTTCTGTATTTTTGGTTCCCAGCTTGCCAAGTATAACGATTCCAAAATGACGAGTGTCAAAATTTGACTGGTTTATTGCTAATGTCAGAGTTCTAACCTGTTGAAAAGGGATCAGTATACTCCGTTGTTGGAATACTCATATATAAACAAACCGGTAGAAACCAAGTTGCGACCAGGTTTTTGACGCTGCTCCAATGCAGTTGGATGGTTTAGATTGAAGCTTACCACTGCATCCCTGGTACCAGCTGGTCGTGGCCTGAAATGTTTGACTACCTTCCGAGCCACATCTTAAAGAATATCTATTTAAGAAACTTAAATGTAAAGGACACTATATTACATGTATTCCCGGAATATTGTATGTTCTCGATATTTCTCGATATCTAATCAACAGATCTTCACCAATGTCAAAGATGTATATATATACATACATATTGATATCCAAGATATAACTTAACACACATTCTAGAATTAGTCAATGCACATTAGTCGTCATAGTCTATGTGCTGGTACCTACGTATAGGCATGTAATCTGATTATTGTTATTAATTATTATGTCTTATTATTTATTTATGATGTGTTTTTCCTATTCTTCTTCTTACTATTATTATTTATATATGCGTATACTACGTAGTGTTTCGTCACTTGGGTGCAGCTCCACTGGTAAGTGGTTATTAACAGTTACAAGTGTAGGCCCGATGACCGGCCCGATTACCGGCCCTATGGTTTAATCTCATGGTTAGAAGGATTTTTATCGCCCCATTTGCACAAGTATACAGGAAAAATTCCAGGAGGTCCCCATGAAATCCCCATCCCATGTCCGTTGAATCAGCACCATTTTCATGGCTCAAAAAAACTCAAAACCATCCATTCACATCACATATTCACCATCCATTTTGTTGGGGTTATATCAGTCACATCCATACAACATCCATTCAACTCATCACACCCTGTTCCGTAACATCCCTTCAATGTATCCCCACTTCGGCAGCTAACCTGTCAAAACGTGACACCGGTGCATGAAGGCCCGACGGAGCTCTCCGGCGTGGTCCTTGAGCGGCAAGAACCAGCCCTCCGAGTGCGATATGGGTGCCGCGAACGAAAAAACAGAGTGGTCCAAAGGTCAAAGTGGGGATAGAATGGGAGATATTGTGGGATTTGACCCACACTGTGGATGGTTGCGAAATCCTGCATCACCAAAAGGATGGTTGAAACATGTTGAAACCCTTTATATAAATAGTGGGATCCATTATAATGATAATATATATATATCATATATTGTCATGCATACATGTTGGAAGTGAGTTTGAGAGACGGTCTTCTGCACAGAAAGGAATAAGCTCAGGATACATTTCTGGCTGCGCTTCAGATGCTTGTTGTTTCTACATGTGAGTACACGTCTCAGTTCCAGGTGGTCAAGGCCCCCTGAATTCCCCAGTTTTCAGAGCAGATCAGAAAGTCGACCCATACCCGATATGGATTTCCGGTACCAACAGGACCACGACTTTTGTTATGGTCGAGCCCTGTCCTCCTATGATTAGATTCAGCACTAAATGATTTCAATGAGCCGATTTCAATGGGCCCAATGAATGAATCGATCCAACACTAAACCAGGCTGTCTACCGGGTATTTTGACATTTGGGGGGAATAGAATTTGTAGACCAAAGTCTATTCAAAGATCTGTTTTTGGAAGTCAACACTTGCAAGACGTCTTGAGCCAGAGCCCAACATCAACTGCGCAAACAAGCACATGTCAATCCATTGACAGTAGTCATGGTTTCTCAGGCTTTTTTGCCATCATGAACCCATGTTTTTGCGGTTCCTGATTTTGAGACCCACCAAACTGGTGCCGGTTTT